GAGCATCTTTTTGTATGTCTATGGGCCCTCTGTATGTCCTCTTTGGAGAAGTGTCTGTTCAGGTCCTTTGCCCATTTTTTAATTGGATTGTTTGTAGGTGGGGGATTGGTGTTGAGTTGTGTAAGTTATTTATAAGTTTTGGATATTAACCCCTTCTCAGGGGTTAATCATTGGGGAGCATGTTCTCCCATCAGTGGGTCATCTCTGCATTTTGTTGATGGCTTCTTTTGCTATGCAAAAACCTTTTAGTTTGATGTAGTCCCATTTATTTTTTCTTTCATTTCCCTTGCCCCAAGAAGATATATTAGAAAAAATATTGCTACATGAAATGTCTGAGATTTTACTGCTTATGTTTTCTTCTAGGATTTTTATGGGCTTGTGTCTAACATGTCTTTGATCCGTTTTGAGTTTATTCTTGTTTAAGAATAAACTGTAAGAAAAAACCATAAGCCGTATGCTGTAAGAAGCGTGGTCTAGTTTCATTTTTTTTGCACATCTGTCCAGTTTTCCCAACATCATTTGTTGAATACACTATCTTGGTCCCATTGAACATTCTTGCTTCCTTTGCCAAGCATTAAGTTACCATAAAGGCCTGGATTTATTTCTGGCCCCTGCTTTTTAAATGTATCAGTGAGTATTGATTGGCTCTTACCTTGCTACCTGCAGGCCTGTGGGCAAGCCCACTAACCCCACTTCGGAAAAGTCTGGGTGGATGTTACTTTGAGCTGGAGGGCTCCCAGCCACACCCTTCCCCCAACCCTCAAGCTGCCCTGTGGGCTGAGACTATCGGTATTAGAACTCAGGCCTGTAATCTATTCACGGCATGCACAGTGGGAAACTGCTCCAGACCCGTGGTTCTCACTGTAGCACAGGTCAGAGTCACCTGCAGAGCTTATTAAAACACATTGCTGCACCCAATCCCCTCACCCACATTCCCACCTTCTGATTCAGCAGGTCTGGGGTGGGGCCTGAGAACTGGCATTTCTAACAAATTTCCAGGTTATGCTGCTGCTCTAGAACCATGTGCTGAGAAGCCAATGTCATAGAGGTTCAACAAAAGTGATTTTTACATACTCCACTTAAAGCAGCCCCTTCTCACTCCCTTACCCTGGGTTATGTTTCTTAAGAGCACTTACCCTTACTTGACGGTATGTATGACATATTCATCTGCTTTGTTTTGCTCCCTGATGTAGTTCTGTTTTCTGGAACAGTACCTGGCACACAGTAGGTATTGAAGGATGTTTGCTACTTAAATGAACATGCCTTCTGGAAGGTGTCGGCCAAGGCTGAAATTAAGAGAATGACAAAGATTGCTCAGGAAGAGGGGGAACATGAAAAAGGAGAATGGCTGGGGAAAACCCTGGGGTGTGTTGGAATAACAGTAACGAGAGACAGAGCAGAAGTCTGGGCGCCAGGCCCCAGGCAGCAGCAGCAGGCATGGAAAAACAGACAGGAACTTGGGGCGGGGGGGCGGATTTTCAGAGAGGGAGAAACACCAAGAGTGAACATCAGAGATCATCTAAGACAAAAAGTTGAGAAGTCCTTAAGGTTTGTCAATTGGAAGATTTGCCACTGATTTTGATCAAAGTAAAGTAAGAAAGACATCCAGAGCAGCAGGTTCATTGCTTTGGGGGGAGTATTGAATGATGGATGCGAAACTGGGGGTAAGATATGTGCGGACTGTTTATTCAAGGGTTTGGCCATGAAGGAATGGGTAGAGGGGTGTAGGTCAAAAGAGTTTGTTCTCTGTCCCTTCCCCTCCCTGGGTGTCTGTGTTGTGTGTGTGAGACAAAAAGGATAAGAGCACAGTTTTATGTTATAGGAAAGGAGTTTCTAAAAAGATGTTGAATATACAGGACTGTGTAATAGTAGCCAAAGGTCAAGGTCTTGGTCCTAAAGGAGTTGGGGGGATAGACTCAAGAGCAAAATGGGTAGGTAGACTGGATGGCTCCTTACCCTCCAAGACCAGGAGGAATGATGTGAGGGAGCTGGGTTAGAGCCTGGCGTGGAAGTTAAGGGGTTTCATACACAAGAGCCCCCACTTTCTCTGGAAGCCGAAGCAGACTCACTTCCTGGTGGTGAGGCCGGAGTGGGTAAGGGATGCGAAAGGGAAGGCAAATGCCTGGAGTGGTTGCTGTGGGAAGCAGAACTGAACTGTGGCATCAAATGCTCCCCCCTCCGTGAGTCATAATGTTAAAACATTTTTTGAGAGGCAAGAATGCTCTATTAGTTCTATTTTGAGCTTCTAACTCACCCATGCCTGAATATGTTTTTCAAAAGATTCATTCTTGTCACGAGGCATATATTAAAGCTTCAGAAGCTCAACACACATACACGCACACGCACATGCACACTCCTTACTGGCTGTTTTCTAAGGCAAGAATGCTGGTAGGAGCAGATGCAATTAAAATACACTCCCAGATGCAAGCAGGGCTGGGAGGAGACCAGGTGGAGACTGTTAATTACCAGGAGAAAAAGGACCCTGGTCATCATAATAAGCAGCAGGGTGGAAAACACTTGGTCTTGACCCACAGAGCCCTCTGGTTGTGCTTAATTAGTTGTAGGATCCAGGGAATGAACTGAACAACCAGTAAGCCTTTTTGATTTGTGTAACAACAAAAAGCGGGGGAAAAAACCCAAAAAACAAGGAAATGCAATTCTAGGTCCGGGGAGATAGCTCACAGACACGACTTGTCACCCTGTCCCCAGGACCAAATCAGATCCCAGACCGAGAGCCTCTTCAGTGAGGCCCAGATATCCTTAAAGCAGGCTGCTGTGAGACACTGTCCCTAAAACTTTGACCTTCATCCCAGCCTCTCCCCAAAGCCCTTGTGATTGCTTACAGATAAAAGCTCTGGAGAAGGGAAATTACCCAAACTGTTCAGGGGCCACTGCTAATTTCTGGGACTCAAAATGTCATGGTTTGCTGTCAACATTCTGAGCTTATATGTAGGGGTTAGGTGATAAATGAACTGAATTTTCACCCAGGTTCACCTTTGGCCAGGGCCAGGACTAAGTGCATTGTATGGTTACATACCCAACTTGCCAAGTGAATAGGCAGAATAGGTCATCTTAGCAACTGACAAAATTTCTTCATTGGTGTGTTTGCTAATTGGGTAAGGGCAATTCTGGTAGAAAACGCCAACTGGAATGTCAAAAGTAGTACATTGAGAGTATTGCCAGATATCTGGAGAACCGCAGAGGTGAATGTCTTCATGAAAGGTGTGAAAGAGGCAGGTGTGAGCCCCCTCGTTCCCATTCATTTCCCAGGTTAGTCCCCCCAGAAGACGGCCAGTCTCGGGAGGACAATGCTGCATTATTGTAACCGCAGCAAGCGAGGAGTCCAATTGTAGAGCCTCTTCTGAATAGGGTCTCCTTCTTGAAGCAACCCAAACAGCCCCTGACACTTGGTTTACGGTTATTGATCTGTAATTTAGCTCCAGAATATCTTTTTACAAATCTCTCTCTTTTTTTTACAAGATGTGCCAGTAACTTTCTAGATTTAATCATAACTTTCATATTTTTATTGCCTATGACTTTTTTAATATCCTTGTCTATGCCTGTATATCAGTCTCTTCCCTTTCAAATGGGGATCATAATTGTAGCTTTCTCTGTGTAAGGGGGAAGGAAATTAGATAATCCATGTAAAGATCATGTAGTAAGTGCTCAACATGTGTTACCCCCTATCTCAGATAACTGGGGGTGAGAATCTGGGATAATGGGGTTTTCTTTATCTTTTTCCAATTCACTTTGCAAGGTTGTTCCCCAGTGAGATGATAAACTTTCTGAATCCTTGCATGTCTGAAAATGTCTTTTCTCCCACTTAAATGTGAATTGGCTGCATAAAGGATTTCAGTTTGAACTCGGAAAATATTGCTCCACTGAGAAATCCAATGGCAATCTAATTTCCATTGCTTTATAGGTAACCTATTTCATTAGTTATTCTAAGGACTCAGGGGGCCCTTGTAATCTAAGAGTTTGTGTTTTTCTTCAAATCTGGGATGGTTGCTTCTTTTGAACCCCCCAACCCTGACCACCATTCTTTGTGGTTTCTGTAACACCTGTCACTCAGAGGCTGCGGTGTCCTGATCTATTCTTCACATCTCATCGTCTTCCTTTTTGTTGATTGGCTATTTAGCCCTACCCATTCTGCTACATACCAGCGAATATATTCTTTACCCCAATTTTTTGTCATTAAGGGATTTAAAGGATTCCTCAACATCCCTGGCTCATTCATGGAACATTTTGTCCTCTGGGGGTCCCACCCCTCCCCCGGAATTTTGGAATTTTAGACAGAGGGTAAGGTAGATGTGTATGCTCAGGTTTCCTTCTTGATTCAAAATCCTTTGTTATCTTCTGGCTTGTCTTGCTCCTTTAATTAGATTGTATATTTTAAGGTAATATATTAAGCCTCTCTAGTCTACCTCTTAAAACTACTGCTTTCTGGTTTCCAAAGACCTTAAAAATCTGGCTTATCCCAGTGATTCAATAAACACATCTTTGTCTTTAGCTTCCCGACTTTTTTTTTTCTCCAGTTGGTACGGGACTGGTCTCCACTTGAAAGCCCTCGTCACCCCCTGCATTCCTCTAGCTCTGCAGTTCCGGGCCCCAGAACTGCCTGTGATTACCCCTAACAAACCGAGACTTACTGAATCAGAAACTCTTGCTGATCAGAGATTAACCCGGGCATTCCCCCCCAACACACACGTGTCCCTCTTAAATAAGCTCCACAGGTGATTCTAAGGCACACCCAGGTTAAGAACTTCTCGACCTCGTGGTTGACGGCCCCTAGAGCAGAACGGCCCACCTGCCCATGCGCAAGAGGTGGTCCGAGAGTTCTCGGGGAAGTCCCAACTCTCGTCTTCCGACCACGTCGAGGGAGGTAAGCTGCCTTCGACCCCTGTAGGCAGCCAACTCGGCCTGGGAGCCTGCCCAAGGGGCCCTGCCACTGGGATAGCGCCCAGAACGGACCCGGGGCACTCGGCCGGGCTCAACCGTCCTGCAGGCCGCGCGCCCTCGGGCTGGAAAATAGCGCCGGGGCGCGGTGCGCAGGCGCGCTGGCCGCCCCCTCCGCGCTCTTCCAAAGTCGCTCTTCCTAGCACAACTCCTCTGACTTTCCCGGGTCGCAACGGCAGCGCCGGCGTCGGGGCTGGACAGGTGAGGGGTGGCCACACAGGGCCGGGTGCAGAAGGGTACTCCTCCTCCCCGCTCCGGCTGGCCTTTGCCAGCCCAGGTCGTGCGCAGTCCCCGGGGCAGGTGGAAGGACCACTCCCCACTTCGCAGGGGGTGGGGAGAGACGTTGGGGGCGGGGAATGGGCCACCTCCCCGGGGCGACTGGGGACCGGACGAGCGTGGAGGCCTCCGGTAAGAGGAAGCGGGCGTGTTTGGGCTGGGGACCGCGTGCTGTGGCGAGCGTCTTTGCTTGGAGGGGAGGCCACGCTGGGTTTGCTCCGTTCCCAGTCCTGGTTCCCAGAGTCCATTGTGACAGTAGGTAGACGAGTAAGGCCCCAACTGGTCCCGACCTAATGCTGCAGAACGTGGACTCACACAATAGCCAGTGGCGGTGATTTTTTGAAACACACGTGGGTTATCAGCTGAGGTTGAGATTTAGAGTTTGTGTGCGTGGGAGCTTTGCGAAACCCACGTTTCCGAGGGTTCTTTGATGTTGCTTCGGTCTTAATGCTTTTAAAACTCTAATCTCAGTTGTTTGTGTTTCACTGTTGGTCGTTTTAAACGTTTTTCTTTTTTTCCCCTGTTCATCTTGGGTTTGCTTGCTTCTCGTTATGAGCCGTGTTCCTGTCTTAAATCCCGTAGGGTGCAATGTCTGACCAAGAGCGCATACAAGAATGCCTGAGGAAAGAAATAAGGTCCCTTCTCATTTCCGCCAAAGATGGTTTGACCCCGCAGCAGTTGGAAAAGGAGTACCTTTTGATGGTCGGGAGCCATTTACCGCTCCGGATCCTTGGGTATCGGTCCACAATGGAGTTGGTGATGGACATGCCTGATGTTGTCAGTATCTGCCCTTGTGGGGATGGAACTGTAATACTGAAAGGTAAACTTTGTAGTAATCATCATTTAGTAAGGTTTTGGCAGTTATCCTGCATCTTAGGCAGGGCATTAAAAATTTTTTTAAAGGCGGGAGGAGGCGAGCCCTGGCTGGTGTAGCCCAATGAATTTAGCAGGGGCCTGCGAACCAAAAGATCGAGGTTTGATTCCCTGCAGGGCACATGCCTGGGTTGCAGGCCAGTTCCCAGCAGGGGATGCATGAGAAGCAACCATACATTGATATTTCTCTCCCTCTCTCCTTCCCTTCCCTTCTAAAAATAAATAAATTAAATTAAAAAAATAAAAAATAAAGGGGGGAGGAGGCACCTTTGAGGTTGTAGGTCAAGTTAGAGCTTTAGCAAAATGAAGACCCGTTTCCTCAGAAAAATGTGCATTTACAAAAACTGCATCTCGCATATGATTTCAGATCATTGCACCTTAATTTGGGAGAAACATAACAATGCAACCTTTTAATCATAAAAATCATGTTTTTAAATTCCACAAAGCACACCCACACAGAATCCTAAAGAAATTTGTTGTTCGTCTTTTTGAGCGTCAAGTCTTTTGGGAGTCAATTAGCAGTTGTGATGTTATTTTGGATTTAACTTCTTTGTCCTCTGGTAGAGGAGCTAATAGACTGTTGTCCAAAATGCAAAAAAAAAAAAAAAAAAAAAAAAAAGAACAAGGGCTTCATATTTTCATGGTACCTAGATACACAGCTCTTTGGAGAGTCAAAAATGTCTCTATAACTGCAGGTAGAAAGGATAAAGAAGGGAGTAAGTTTTCACCTACATATGCTCTCTTTTTTCACTTCTCTTCAGCCATTCCAGATGAATCCACCAGAGGAATAGCAAGTTTAGTTGCAAAACAGAGGAGCAGTCATAAAGTTCGCAACTCTATGCAGAAGGGAAGGGCCAGTGTTTGCTTGGGGCCAAGCTTCCATTGGCAAGTACCTTACCGAGGAAGGGTGCCCCCTATTCTGCCAGCTGTTGTGAAGAGTGAGTTGAAGGACCTCCTGGCGTTATCTCCTGTTCTCCTTTCTGATTTTGAAAAGGCATTTGCCAAGCGATTTGGACGCTCGTTCCAGTACATGCAGTATGGCTTCCGGTCTATGTTTGAAGTGCTGAATGCCGCTTCAGATGTCATTTCTGTAGAGCAGACCAGAGCGGGCTCCTTGCTGATGCTAAAGAAGAGCATGTCCGAGGAAAAGCAGAGAGGGTGGCCAGCAGGTAAGCACGTTAGCCTTGGTGACTGTATTGTGGATGAGCCCATTCTGGAGTCCTTGTGACACATGGAGTTATGTCATGGCTAAGCTCCACTAGTTTGTTGAAGTTAAATATCGGCTGTACCACGTGCTGGCTGAGTGATGCCAGGCAATTTACTTACCATCTCTAGCTGGAAATAATAATACTGGCTTCTTGGAATTGTACTGAGAATGCAATGAGATGAGGTCGGTAATGTGTCTGGCATTTAGTAAGCTCATAATAAATAGTATCTACTGTAAGAACACAAGATCAGCTCTCTCCAGAGCACTGTAAATGAACATTAGTTCTGTGTGTTCCATGTAAAGAAGACTAAACGTGGAAAGTGAAGTTTTAAAGCTGATCTTTGCCATCACTGATCTTTTGTGTGGTAGGTAGCACTCACTGCATTAATCTATGTACTGAAATGATAAGCACCTTGTTATTATACAGCATTTTTACCTTGGGTTCTCTTTGACACACCATATACAAGTAGGATGAGTAACCCCATCTTATAGATAAGGGTACCAAAACTCAGGAGAGCTAAATGACTTTCCCAAAGTCACTTGGTTGGAAAAGTGGTAAAGCCAGGATTAGACGCCCAGCCCTTAATACTGCTGACCCATCCTTCCAATCACTGTCCTTCTCAAGGGCTCAGAAAACCAGTATGATCATCCGTACCGTATAGTGTTTCTCTAGGTCCTTGACAATGTAGAATCCGTATATGCAACTTTTGGGGCGATTCTATGCCTATTTAAGTGGTATTTCTTTTTCTCAAAAACCTGTATTTGGATTACTATAGGTGAACCATGGGAATACCATGCATTTACAAACCAGTATTTAAACAGTGGTGGGCAATGTAATTGGACGAGGATATGCCAGGGGGTTCGCGTGCTCCGGCCAGGAAAGGCTGTGGGGGCCACTGAGTGTTCAGAGTCTAGCCCTCAACTGTATTAGTTTTCTTGAGGTGTTCAAGTCAAGCTTAGGGAGGCTAACTCCTGCTATTAAACTTACAAGGTCATGTATTGGGAACTTATAAGTTCCTATCTTTGTATCATCAGGATATGTTGGAAGTCATTTTTTTTTTTAGCTTGATCTTAAAGAGGTGAGGTCCAGTGCTACATCGTTTGTGCTGTACAACAGAAACTACCTCTCCAGTGCTATTTCTTGTCCTACCAGTCCTGAAGGAAGAAATCTATACTCTAGAATAATACCCTTGTTCTGTAGCTGTTCATTCCTCCTGTCCCCTCCACCCTCCTGACACATACCAACTTTGAGAAGCATAATTCTAAGCAGATTCCTTGCTTGGAAACTTTTTGGTCTCCTGAAGAAGATACAGCTTTTTTGGTTCTGACTTACTGAATCCGGTCTCTCTGTAATTATATTCAGAGAGTGGAGTTTCAGATAGTCCTAGCTTTTTCAGTAACACACTTACAATCTCTTGGTTTTCTCCTATAGATGACTAATCACTTTCATCATATGTAAATTGTATTGACTTAATATTGAAAATGTTGGCTTACTTTCCTTAATTTTCATTTCTAAGCTCACAGTAGCCTCTGTAGTTAACCTAAAATAAACTAGATGCTTCCAGTGACAGCTTTTCTCTGCTTTTGTTCACAGAAGGTAAAAGTTTTACCCAGCCTTTCAGGATGAAACCAGAAGGGTCAAACCCCCCAGGCTTCCCAGTGGCAAGGGCACGCTTTGCACGACCCAGTTTAAACATGGAACCAGTGAAGCAAGTACTGAACGTGAAAAAGACTTCTGAGTCCAATGCAGCGGAGACGTCAGGGCTGAATCACGCTGAAAAATTAAACCAGGTGAGCTGAGCTGTCAGAGTTTGGAGATAAAAATACACCGAAAATGTGTTTAGATTCAGTAGTTACTACCTGATGGAAAGAAAAGCTGATCTTTTAAAATCCGGGTCATTCACTGATGGGAGATTTAATTTACGCGTTTCCTGTGGTTCTGTGGCTTAGAAAGGAGTGAGAGGTGGCAGTGAGAAGAGGACAATTTTGTCAATTCCGTGGTTTCTACTCCATGGTTTCTACTATTTTCTGCAGGTGATTCCCAAATCTGTATTCCTAGTTCCGTTCTCACCAACGTTAGAGAAGTATACTTTTTTTTTTTTTTTTAAAGATTTTATTTATTTATCTTTAGAGGAGGAGGGAAGGAGAGAGGGAGAGAAATATCAATGTATGGTTGCCTCTCGTGCGTCCCCTACTGGGAACTGGCCTGCGACCCAGGCGTGTGCTCTGACTGGGAATGGAACTGCAGTTGTTTGGTTCGCAGGTCCGCGCTCAATCCACTGAGCTACACCAGCCAGGCTGGTAGTATACTAGTTTTTGCAACTGACCTTGTGAATATCTTCCCCTGAATGGCTGGCCCTGAGCACTACGGCCCTGGCATTTTTCTGTGACTATAATGCTGCAGGACTTTTGCAATATAACCAGCGAAGGCCTGGCCAACTTGCCAAAATGACTTAAGCTGAGCTCTGAGTAAGCACATGGAAACTAAATTCAAGACTTAAAAGTGCCTTATTTCTATAACTTAACAAAATTAACTTTAATCACTTCTTGTTCTTTTGGCTATGATCAAGTATAAAAAAATTAGCTCTAGTAACATAGTTTACCCACATCATTTTAACATAAAATTTACTCATTTTAAATGGACAGTTAGAGTTTTCACAGATGTATCTACTTATGGAATAACCATCAAAATAATTTTTTAGTTTTGTTTATATTTACTATGTAAGTTTAAAAAGTAGTTGTAGAGACGCCATCAGCATAAAGGGTTTATACCTGATTTTGTTTGTACATAGTATTTAAATGTTGTAATGAAAATAATAGAACTTCTTTGGGATTTTCCTCCTCTCCTACCTCTCAGATAACTCTTCAAGCAGTTTCACGTCTCTCCCTAGTAACACAGGCAATTGTCACTATGTTCGAGCGCGCATACACACGCGAACAAACTGCGTGAACACACGATGCCCGAGATCAGCACACATTCCTAACCATCAAAATAATTTTTAAAAAAGTCAACAGAATGCTTCCATTGTCCCCAAAAGGTTCCTTCATGCCGCTTTGTAGTCGACCTCTTTCCCCAGCTGCAGCCACCGGCAACCACTGCTTTCTGTAATTTTCACTTGCCAAGAGTTTTGTGTAAATGGAATTAGATAATGTCTAGCCTTTTGCGTCTAGCTTCTTTAACTTAGCATGATGCCTTTGAGATTCGTAGAGCATATATCAGGAGTTTGTTCCTTTTTCTTGTTGAGTGTCTTCCACTGTATTGATATACTTCAGTTTGTTATCTATTCCCCAAAAGATGGCACTTGGGTTGTTTTTTTGCTTGGGGCATTATGAATAAATCTGCTGGGAACATTGGTACACACTTTGTATGAACAGAGGCTTCATTTCTTTTGCATAAATATCCAGGAGTAGGATCACTGGGTCATACACTAAATGCATGTTTAACTTTATCCAAAATTGCCAAACTGTTTTCCAAATTGGCTGTACAATTTTACTTTCCCTAGAACTATGTTACATCTTTGTTAACATTTGATGATGTCAGTTTTTAAAATATTAGCCATTTTCACTGGGTGTATAGTGATATCTCATTATGTTCTTAATTGAAATTTCTACAATGATGAATAATGTTGAACATTTTTTCATATGTATATTTTCCATTTGTATGTCCTCTCTGATGTGTCTATTCATATCTTTTGCTTGTTCATTCTTAAAAAATTGAGTTGTCTTTGTATTTAGTTAGGAAAATTATTTATACATTCTGGACACAAGTCTTTTATCAGAGAAATATTGTCTCCTGACCTATACTTGTCTCTTCATTTCTTTAATCTGTTTTTTTTATGCGGAGCAGAAGTCTTTACTTTTGATGAAATCTAATTCACATTTTCATTCTGACTCTTGCCGACATAATAGATCAGTGACTCTTTCCCCTTAGATTGTCAAACTCAAAAAAATGACAGCCAACACGACAATAGCTGCCTGGTGTGAACGAATCAAAATTATACCTATTTTCTTTGTCAGATTGGCAAAAAATATAAAACATTTTCAGCATGCTGTAGAATTTTAGTAGTTTTTGTGTGCCATGAGATAAAAATAGAAGGTTGAAAATCACTGTACTAGATTTTTACTTAATCCAGAGTCACAAAGTGCTCTCCTATGTCTCCTTTTAGGAGTTTTTAATTTTCAGTCCTTAGGGTTTTTTTCTCCATTTCAGGTTAATTTTTGTATAAGGTGCCTGGTATGGATCCAGTTTCAATCTAGCTGGGTTAAAACTTGGGGATGTGTGAATATTTCTGTGTCCATTCTGTTTTAATACTTTTGAACTTCACCTTAATGTTTGTTAGGGCACGTCTCCCCTAACTAGTCTGCAATCAGGCATTCTCCTATTGTAATAGGCTTTTTCCCTGGAAGTTTAGAATTATTTTTGTAAGTTATAAAATCTCAATGAGATTGCTCTTAGAATTCAATTTAAAAAAATTTTAAGACCTCACACATTACATTAAATATATTTATTCAATAACATGCAGCTTTCTCCTTCTTCAGTATCATGCTGTTCAGTGCTGATGTATACTTTATTAGAGTCTGGCACATCTCTTGTAAGTGTACTCTTCAGTGTTGGATAGTAGGCTACTTTTGTTGTTACTGAGAATGGCGTTCTAACTGCTTATGGCTTATGAGGAGAGAAATCGATTTCTTAAAATACTCTTTTGAAACTGGCCACCTTACTGAACTTTGAACTTGTTTAACAGTTTTCTCATAGGTTTTCCAAACACACCACAATAATGTTTATAAATAATTGTCCTTTGTCTTTTTCAGTATGTAAAGTTTGCACTTCCATTTGCTACATTTAGTGTAGTCACCAAAAATTCCAGAAAAATTAAACAGTGAAAGGGCACATTTCCTGCTCAGGGACTTTAAACTCTGCAGAATCGAGTGGGGAGACGCTGCCTTTGATGGTCGGTCAGCGCCAGGCAGCAGTGAATGCAAACTCCGGGGTCTTGCCTCCTGGCACGGCTCCAAGGAGGGGAGCGGAGAAATGTAGATACACCGCTTCTATATATTTGTTTTTCTTTTAGTTTCACTCTGTGTTTTGCAGCTCTAAGAATCCCTTGTAAATTTACTTCCAGTTTTGAAGTGCTTTTAAATCGGAACTACTTAAATCCTATTCTAAGGAGTGGGCTCTAATTCCTAAACTGTATATTTTAATTCCCTAGGAGGCCAGACTCTACATAATTAGCAGATCCTACATAACTCTGTTTATAGACAGTGCAGCTTTCCTGACCTGAGTGAAGGTGGTGGGGAGCAAGGGCTGGGTAGAGGTGGTCACAGGGGAAAAAATGGGGACATCTGGAATAGTGTGAACAATAAAAATAAAGCTACAAAAAGTACAATTTTCCATTTCTTCAAAATTGTAGCCCTGTCAGTTTGCTAGGTGTTTCCTCAAAACTCTGTATGTGTGTGATGAGCCGAGGATATGTTTATTGATTTTAGAGACGGGAAGGGAAAGGAAAAGAGAGGGAGAAGGTCTATATGAGAGAAACTTCGGTCAGTTGCCTCTCCTACACGTCCTGACCAGGATCAAGCCCATATCCTAGGCAGGTGCCCTGACCAGGAATCGAACCTGCAAGCTTCTGCTATATGGGATGGTGTTCCTATCAACTGAGCCTTCTGGCCAGGGCACAAGTACATGTTTTTTTATGTGCATAGAAAAGGAATAAATATATAACTATATTACATTTAAATTGTACATATAGAGACAACATTTTTGATCTGTGTTTTGTGTTTTGCACAGTGAACATGCATTATTTGTCATGAAAGAGAAAAAATCAGTTTCTTCTTTGTAAAATGAGGATTAGTGTTTCTTCATTTTTACTTGCAAGAGGAACAGTCAGGGTCGGTCATTAGTATCCTGCCCTTGCCCATCGCCAGGCCTTGTTTCTCAAAGCAAATGGCTTACAACAGTTTAAAGCTTGTTTCACAAGACAGGAATAGGCTTTTCTTTAAGCCACACACTATTCACTTCCCCTTATTTTGACCTCTTGAGAGGAAGTTTAGATGAGGAATGAAGATGTGAGTGGGTGAACATAGATGAGCCGTATTTTCTAGTGAATGCACCTCAGATGCCCTGTCCAGCCCAGCCCATCGGCCTTCCCTGCGTTAGTGTGCAGTCCCAGGGCACAGCTGCTGGTCCCAGGGCACAGCTGACAGTCCCAGAGCACAGCTGACATTGGCGTCACTGTGCTTCCCGTTGGTAGGTCATCGCCCACAGGAGTGCTTGGTCAGGGAACCTGGCGTTTCTAGGGCCTCGAGCCTTAATAGCAGCATCTTGTACCCCTTCCAACCTTACCCCCACCTTACATGTTAGAAAACTTGACTGTAACATTCCGTGTGAGATTTTAAGTAGGCAAACCTGGAACCATGAAAGATCTGCTCTTAAATGAATTAAAAATTAGGGCCTGCTCTTCGTTTGTACCTGACTTTTAATTTGTGCTTATTAAACAATTACCGTTTTTATATGAATTAGATGCTTTGCTTCGTGTTGTGTATAAGAAAAGAAGCTTTTGTATTACACATAATGACCTGGCTCCGCTGTCTTCTAAGAGTGTTCTGGACAAGCAGCTGGGTGTGTTGAACAGTCACTGTCAGAAACAGGGATTCAGCGGGGCCATTAGTGCAGTTCTCGGAGGTGTGTTCTCTGGCCAACTTAGAGTAGCCATTCCCTACCTGTTTTCCGTGGTTCAATAAAATTTTCAGTATGGCAAGTCAGACTCCATAAGTGCCTAGCTTTTAGTTAAATGAGCAAATACTACTTCTGCATGTGTGTCTATGCCAGTATTGTGATCTTTATAAGAAATCTGTTACCGTTTTTACTGCATGGCCAGAAGTCTGTAGTATAGGCCTCTAAGATGTAACTTCTGCTCCTTTCTGTCTTTAGCTTCATGCATCTTCTTTCCAAAAAACACCTAGATGTGTGTCTGTTATTAAAACCTTTTTCTTATCACAAAAGTAACACAGATTGATTACAGAAGTTTTTTTTGATTGCAGAAGATTTAAAATATAGAAAAGCACAGCATTAAAAAAACCACCTATACTTTTTTTCACCTAGAAAATCTGACATTTTCTTTTTCTGAAAAATAAAAAATTAAAATAATTCTGGTCCAGGTTTGTGACCTGATTTTTAAATTGTACTTTGGCACTGTGACCAATCCCACATTGTCAAATATTGTTAATGCAACATATTTTTAATGGCAGTGTAGATCTGCTGGAGTTTATTTTACTTGTGACCTAGGTGAGGCATTTAGGCAATTTCTAGTTTTTGCTATTAAAAATAACCTTATGATGAAAATCCTGCTCAAATTTGCACATATTTCCATTACTCCACAGGATGAATTTCCAGATGCAGTCACAGCACTGAAAGGAGTGTGAACTTGTATGGCTTTCACACATGGATTAGGCTGTCCTCCCTAAAAGTTGTTTCGGTCAGCATTCACATGGGCGTGTGACAGTGTGTTCTTTCCTCGCACGTTTGCCAGTACTCGGTGTCAGTAGGCCCCTGACCTCTTCCTGCAAACCCCAGGCTGAGCTAAATCTCCCCTGGCTGCCCTAATACCTTCAGGCGTATTACCCCTTCATCACACTATCGGTTTTTCATTGATTGTAACTGTGAGTATAGACTTTCTCATGGGATTGTTTCATTGTCCCCACCCTGGGCTGCAGGGTCCATGGGGGCAGGACCATATGTATGTAGTCTATGTGCTCCATACATCGTGTTCTTTGTGCCGTGTGGAGCACATGTATGTGGTCAGTGCATGTTTGTTGAATGAATAAATGGGTGTTTTGCTAAAAACAGTTTTCTGATTTGACTAATAACTACTGCTGGCTTAACTAAGTTATTAGAGCCTACACTTTAGGCTTTTATTGGCTATCTAGTGTTCATTTTTATCCATCATCTATGTGTCATTTTGTCCATTTGTCTGTATATCTCTGGTTCAGAGTTCTCAGCCTCTTCTCTGGTCCTATCTGCTCCTACCTGAATATGGCTTTTTTGGGGTAGGAGGGACAATTTCCATCTTTATTTATGCCCTTATAATTTTTAAAAAATATTTATTTATTTATTTTTAGAGAGAGGGAGAAGGAGGGAGAAAGAGAGGGAGAGAAACATCTTTGCGAGAGAGAAACATTAATTGGTTGCCTGCCGTACGTGCCCCGCCAACCAGGGACTGAACCCACACCCAGGCATGTGCCTTGACCGGGAATCAAACTGGCGACCCTTCACTTTGTGGGATGATGCTCCAGCCAACTGAACCACACTGATCAGGGCCATGTTATAAGCTTTTGTTCACTTGATTTATTGCCCGTTCATTGTATTTGGTATATGGACATGTGAGAGTAAAGCATTGTCGAAATCCGGGGCCCTCCTGGTTGCTTTCCTCATGTCAGTCACTGATTGCTTCCTGCTCTTACTCTCCCTCACCTTGTAACTTCTACCCTCTAATTCTAGACATCCCTACGCTTACCTGGACTTTAAAATAATCTCCCTCACCCCATTCAGTGTAAAGTCAACTCAATTTAGTCACTTAACTTCAGGCAATAACTTTTTTTTTTCATCTTCTTGAGTGGTGTTCTTTTCCTATTCAGAGCCCATCATTTTGACATTGTAAGCCCAGACGTGACAGATGTTCTCTCTGAAAGGCCACACGATACATAGATGAGGCTTCAGGGGCCAAATGTAATTACTCAACTCTGCCCTTGTGGTGCTGAAGCAAACCTGGACAATATGTAAATGAGTGAGGGTGACTGTGTTTCAGTGAAACTGTCTCGCTAGTTAACCGACATTTGAATTTCTAGTTATTTTTATGTTGTCACCTAACATTATCCTTTTTATTTTTCCCTCAACTGTTTAATAAAAGTGTCAAAGCCATTCTTAGGTTACGAGACTGTACAAAGACAGATAGCGGGCCAGATTTGACCCATGGGCCATAGTTCGCTGACCCTGTTGCTTGCCGTTCCCCATAGGAATGAATCACATTTGTATTCACCATCCTGCCACTTCTTTCCCAGTTTCCCAAACTCTTGCAATTGAGTGAAAGGCAGCAAAAACCTGCCTTTACATCTAAGGGACTTTAGCTTTCTGCATAAAATGTGAGGTCTCTGAGTGTTTCCTTGGTCTTCTGTTATTCATCCTTGTAGAATCAGCAGTTCCTTCTTCTCCATTGTATTCTTTCCTAATTTCTGTGGATTCCGCCCTTGTATTATCTTTTGTTTCTATTTGTACTCCCTTAGCACCCTAGTTAAAACTCTTTCCCAGAGTTGCAGTGGTCTCCTAACTGGTTGCCCATCCCTCCAAATCGAATTTTCTGCCAGATTAAAATTCTGATAATGCCTCTCCCTAGCTCAAAATCTCCAGTATCAGTTATTGTTTACATAACCAGGAAAAATTCCTGAGTTTGGCATGTAGGGTATTCTGTAGCATGACTTCAGCCTACCTTTTCCAGTTTTCCCTTTAACTACTTTCCTAATGCCTTAGGCCAATTATACTTTTTTCTTTGTTTTCGAGATTCCTTCTACCTTCATTGACCTCTTTAGCATCCCCCTCTGCACTGTTCTCCCCACCCTGTAAGACCCTTCTAGAAGGAAGCCTCCCAATTTATATGGACCTTAATGTGAGGCACCCTTCTGTACTTTTATACTTGACTGGTTCTTAGGTTGTAGCTGTTTATGCAATTATCTCATTTTCCTAGTTCATAGTTCATTGTAAGTGGGTTGAGAGAAGTAATACTCTCAAAAGTGACTATTTTTTGTCCCCTGAAACACCTAGCACAGTGATAATTTAATAAATTGTTGTATTGAATCTTCAGATGGTGAGAGCCTGCTGAGATGTGAAAAATCAGTTACTTAGATTCTCTTAGGACTCACCGGGAGAGCTTTAGGGAATTATCTCGTAACAGATCCGTAGAAATATAAAGAACATGAGGCCGAAGGCTTTTGTGAAAGCTAGTGATACAGTCCTAGGAATCTCATCTCCCCCCCAGGTCCCACTTTCACGTCAACCTTCCGAGATACTGAGATTGTCTTCATTTTTCAGATGAAGACACAGACCTAAAAGGTCACAGTTTATAAGCAATGACAGGCCAAGTGACAATAAGAAGAAAGACTACACAATAAAAATTGAGAAGGAAAAAAATATTGATAGTGATTGTGTCTGTGTGATATCATTTTAGGTATTTGTGTTTTTCTTTATATCTTTGTAGCTTTTCTAATATACTATATAATTTTATACAGTCAAACCTCAGTTGTTGAACAATTTGGTTCTCAACCAATTTCACAGAAAAAATGTGTTTGTCCAACAAAATTTTAGTTCTTGATTCTCAACCCAACAACTCTTTCATGCTGATACCTGTATGATCAGTCACATGTCCCTCAGTCAATAAACAAAGGAGATTTGGTTTTCAAACAAATCGCTTCTCAAACAGTTTGCCAGAATGAATCAAGTTTGAGAACCGAGGTTCTGTGGTATTTACTTGCACCGTTGAACCTAACTCCACAATCTCTCATCTACAGTAGGTTTCCCTTGCTGTGGCTGTGACCTCAGCCCATCTGCACGTGCTCCATGCTGTTTTCCAATCGTAATCTGTGCTTCCAGCTTGTATTTTCAGTTCATCCCATGCCCACCTTTTTACCTTACTGGGGTCTCCATTTGCCACTGGCTTCTGTCTACCAAAATCCTCAGACCCCTGCTATCTTAACTTGGGCCTCTCCTATCTTTACTCCCTATCTCTTGAATTCAGAAAATAACCCGTTACTTCCTTATTTTTCCACTTCCTCAACTGTGTGAGCTCCCTCTCTTTTCCCTCTTTTCTTAGGAGTGGGCCTTGCGTCTGAACTCAGAATACTTCAGATAGTAACTATCTCTACCTTCTGGCCCCACATTCGCAGAGCCTTCCTGCAGCCTTACTGGTTCTTTCTCCTTCATTTCTACTTCAACAGAGGAGCTGTCCCTTCCACCCTTTAGGGCCGGTCCTTCCCCCAATGCCCTGGCTCACACTGAATCCTGCCTCCCAGGGACCTTGCACCATCCGTCTCTTCCCTGCATTAGGTGTGCACTGAGTGTGTGTGCGGTAAACATCGAAAACTTATAAGGAGAAGAAAATGAGTAACAAAATTTCTTTCTGGGTTGAGGCATTGAAGACTCAAGAATCTAATTGTTATAGAGAATATTAATTACCCTGGAAAATTTCAGTGTTTAGTTTTATAAAGGTTTCATCTGAATGTGTTTTATATGTATGAAATGTTACAGTGTGTTTTGAGGACAGTTTTTTATCCATTTGATTTGAAATGCATTTCCTTTGATAGATATTTCCTTTGCATACCATTAAGATTGATCCTTAATTTTTTTTTTTTTTTTTTACTGTAACTCAAATTTTTTTCTCTTATAGTTGGAGAACACCTTCAAATCAGTTATTGCACAGATTGGACCTGGAGGCACTATCCATCCAGAACTAAAACATAAGATAAAATTTGTAAGTATTTTCTGTTTCTGGGAAATGGATAAGAGTAATTGATTATACATGTAGATATCATTTGTGGTTGAGTTGAAGTTGCCTGTGAGTATTTATTAGTTTTATATTTATGCCTGATCTTTTAAAATATATTGCAAATGGCATGATTGTTCCTTAAAGATCAGGAAAAAAACGGTAAATAAATTACATACTCTTAAAATTTTTTGAAAAAAAATTTATACAATGTAAGCTCCTTCATAAATGTGCTCACCTCCTTTTTTCTTCCTCTCACCCCAGTAAGTCTTTGTTAAGATCTTTCCAGTACCACTTTTCTATATAGTATATCAAATATTATTCTGAATTGTATAGGGTATCACATTGTGTGGAGGTACAATATTTTGCTTGAGATTTGTTTTTTATTAACGTTTGGGTTATTTCTAGCCTTGACTATTAAAAAATGCTGTAGTTGGTATCTCTTAACATTTATCCAGAAGCAGGGTTGGCAGAGATATTGATTGAGATTCGATTAAATCTTACTGCATTGCCCTCTAAAAAGTTTGAACAAATTTTCAGTCTCACCGACAGTGAAATGTTACTATTTAGTTATTTTTTAACTTACAACTCTTGATTTTTATACTGAGCATCTTTTCATCTGCATGGTAGCCATTTATATTTCAGACGTGAATTACTTTTGTCCTTGGCTTAATTTATTTTTTCTCCTTATTCATTTGTAAAACTCTTCGGCTGTTATGTATTGGGCCGACGGATGTGTACACTTAAAATTTTGGAGAGAGCTGCTAGTTGAAATTTGAGTAATCAGAGTGCCGTTTGGATGCTCACTGCCTTGTGTTACTCCAGCCGAGCCGTTGTGGTTTACGTGGGTGAAGTGCAAAAACCTGTGTGCGGTCAGGCCCTGTGTTCTTGTGTGGGCGTTTGTTCCGTGTGACTTTTTGTGGTAACAAAACATTAGAGAGAGATTACGCATTTATTGATAAAGGATTGGTTAAATTATTCACCCAAACTAGAGAATATTGATGCACGTGGCTCGTAAGAAAGTTTATGTATATCTCAGTAACGTACGTGGAAGTATCTCCTTAACATGTTGTTGAACTTTAAAAGCAGATTTTAAAGAATGACAGGTTTAGTGTTGTCCTTCATGTAAAACTATGAATAATGTGAGGCTGTGTGTGCATACATTGCCTTCTGAAAGGGTGTTTTCCTAAATGCAAAACAGCTCTTTCTGGGGCGTAGGATTTTGGAGTAAGTTTTACTGTATATTTTTCTGAAACTTGAACTAGAATTTTAAATAAAATACATACTGTTTTGAAAAATTGAGGCAAACACCAAGCTTACTGTACTGTATTGGGATAGACTGAATCCGCTTCTGGGAATTTACCCTAAATGAGCAGCTGACAGGTATGCATGATGCAGGTGTGCACGATGCAGGTGTGTACGATGCAGGTGTGCACGATGCAGGTGTGAGGCTAATCACCACAGTGTCTGTGCGGTGTGAGCATCGTGAAAGCTCGAGCCGGTGAACGCGCTGCTCCCTACTTACCGACACGACCAGAGGTCTGTGGTCTGATATTTAAAACTGGTTGTAGAAATAATGACCATTTTTATATTAAATACAGGTACCTTCACGTGCACGCGATAGCAATGGCTACTAGCTGGATATTTTCTCTTTGCTTAACTGTATTTCGCAAAGTTTTCTGTAATGTCCACTGGACTTTTCTACCATTTAAAATCCTTGAAATTATGCTATGGAATTTTTTAAAGTTTTTTTCTTCTTTTTTAAAAATTTTATTTATTTATCTTTAGAGGGGAAGGAGAGAGGGAGAGAAACATCAATGTATGGTTGCCTTTTGTGCCCCCCCCCAACTGGCCTGCAGGGAACTGGTCTGCAACCCAGGCATGTGCCCTGACTGGGAATTGAACCGCAATTCTCTGGTTCACAGGCCTGTGTTCAATCCACTGAGCTACACCAGCCAGGGCCAATTTTTTTTTCTTTAATGTGCGCTAAAGCTAAGTGTGTCAGCTGAGCTAAAGAACTATAGGGATTTCTGGAGAGTTGTGGCATTGCAGTGTTGTGCAAGGATAATTTCTCAACTCTAGGAGTGTTGGAAGTCACTGCTTTTTTTGTTGTTTTTTTAAAACTTGAACCTGATTTAAAAATATTGCCACTCTATTTCATTCACTCAGTAATGTGGTATTTTTTAACCTTTGTTACTACTCAAATTTATGCTGTTGTATTTTGACATTTTATCACACAGCATTTCAATGGTATCTGTTTATATCCTATTTCATTTTTTTATTTATTAGGTTGTGTCCAAGTTTCCAGAGGGATTGCTTATTTCTAAACTGCTTAGAGAGTTTGAGGTGAGTGTTTTTTTTCACCAGCCATGGTTTTTTATGGCGTATGTTTTTCTTGGTAGATAGAAATGTTGTTGCTCCCCTGGAGCCTCCAGCTCTGTGCTCTAGAACTTAAACATCTTGTTTTGAATTTTGAAGTCCTTTGCTTTACTAAAAGAGTTCAGAATAAATACTTCATGATACGTAGGCAGGATATTTTCACCACTTCTTATTCTGATATTGTTAGAATGAAAGTTATTTTTAATGTCTGATAATACCACGTGGCAGAGGGGAAGTAGAGAAACACAGTACCTCTCCCCTGCTCACGGGACAAGACCCCTCTGGAGAGTGTTGTGGCAGGCGGGCAAAGCTGGAGGTACGCACCCCCCACTGACCCAGCAGCTCCACGTCCGCACATGCACTTTGGAGAAACTCTTACATACGTGCACATGGAGACATGCATGAGACGTGTGCTCATGGCAGCACAGGAAAAAACTGGAAACAGATTACTTGGCCGTCAGTAGGAGAATGGATAAATAAATTAGGATTGACACTTAGGCAATGGAGCGAAATGTAGTAGGTAAAATAAAAGATCTAGATTTGTTGCAGAACATGAAACATTTTGGGAACCATCATGATCAGTGAAAAAACATCAAATGACTGAATGATAATTCAGATACTGCCATATAACCAATTTTTACAAATGGTTAAATCCTATACCTACGTTAGCCACTGCGTTCTGAGTGGCTTTTGTGATTCATCAGATTTCACGACACACTGAGGCTCACAGACGTAGCTTCCCTAAGGGTCAGATAGCTGGTGTGGGTGGAGTCAGGACTGGAGCCCCGGGCAGCCAGTCTTTTCAGAGTCCTAATTTTAACTGCTGTGCCGGAGAAGCTGTCGTATATTTGCAGACATGAGCACAGACATTGGGGAGATACTGTGGCGTAATGGTTAAGGTACATCACTTCTGTACATCTGTTTTATGAATGATACGTAAATCAGGATAATACCTATTTTTATAGAGTTTTGTGAAGTTTAAATGACTTAAACATAAAGCACTTAGAACAGTGCCTGCCACATAGTAATTGTTCAATAAATGTTAAAAGAAGAAAACTTAGAGGAAATGCACATCATCCCTCAGATAGTGATAAAGAAAATTTAAATTCACCTCTTTTGAAATGTATCTTTTAGAGCCACAGAGTGTTTTTCAAGCAGGCACATGGGAGAAGCTACAACCAAGGCTTTTGGTGTTTTTTGGATTAATAAGTAAAGTTACTACTTATCTAATGAAATTACAGAATCTCATTAAATCATATTAAATGATTTAATCATATTAAATCACATAATTAAATCATATGTTACAAAATTTACGGGTAAAATCAACCTCCTATGCCAGACGCAGAACTCAGAGTGAGCGGTTTTCTATCACAAACATTTCACCAAAGGTAGCTTCCTGTAATAAAAATTTAGGGTATTAAGGTTACGAGTCGACAGTCCTGGAGAAATTAAAACAAACCTTTTAATGTTACAGGGAAGATCTTTGCCTCTCTTAGTAAACAGACAGGCAGAAATTCAATTTTATGATTATAAATGTCTACTAAGTTTAGATTTAATTTAACCTTTATTGTAATTTGTAGAAACACCTGCTAACCCTTTCTTATTGGACGTGATATGTAGCGACCTGTATGATTTGACCTCTTGAAATACCTGGTCAGAGGTCTGCCATCTTTCAAAATCCCTTATTAAATTGCTACTTGAAGGGAAGATAGTACACTAGCAGTAGAGTTTTGGGATCTTCCTGAAGCTCCACATAAAGATGGGGAGAGAAACCGGGCAGCAACACCAGAAATCCGCAGTGTTTACAGAGAAACGGGGGAATACAGACGGCAGAGGAAACTGGTGAGGAGGGTCACCCCCAGGGAGGCGATCCCTTGGGTGACCGTCGGGTCGGAGTGGGACAGAGACTTCTTGCTGTGAACCCTCTTGAGACTTTTGAATATCACTTATTCAAAAATTAATAAATTATATTTAAAAATCCTTTCCACAGTGGCCTTTTGTTTAACTGAATTGCATATTCATAGTGCCGAAGGAGAAGGTAGACAAACCACTGAAGTGACTGTTGAACATAAAAGGGAAAGAAACCGTAACACGCACGTGATGTACGAAGAAATGGAGATGCTAAGCCTAATTCCCCAGCACCTTTCCCATGTCCTCTACCAATCCTTTATCTCTTGGGGTACTCATGCATGGCTCTCAGTATGTGAGCGACCCCTTTACACCCTGCCCTGACTGATACCAGGCTCCCCTGGGAGAAGTCATCAGGAGTTGGGCGGACTCTCAGACCATCACAGGAGCAACAAGTATGTGTTGTATTCGAGTGTTTGCCTTCTGTGTACCTGTCCATAGCCCGCAAGGGAATAACGTTGGAGCGTGGATTTCCTACCAACACCTAGTCAGAGGAAGAGAGCAATAATTATGTAAACGTAATATACGTAACTCATCTGCGTTAGTTAACCTTGGTCAGGGAGACAGAAGTTTCATTAAGAGTTTGAATTTTTAATGGGAGGGTTCATTAACAAGGGCAAAGTTAAGAGTTCACTGTTCCCCTTAAACCCAACCGGTGTATTGCCCTGAATGCCCTGTCCGCGGGCCTGGCTGTGTCCGCGGGCCTGGCTGTGACCGCGCGCGCAGAGGCGTCACAATGGTAGGTGGTCCAGCTTCAAGATTCCGAAAGGCGGCAACGTCTAGGAGCCCAGTCGACCTGACTACGCCGACCCGGCTTCACTGCGATAATGGGTAACTACCTGAGCAGCTACCTGGGCATGTGCCGAAGCACGGCCAGTGCCACACTACAGCCACCCACCCGAGTGCGCAGGACCCTCGAGTCCATGCCCTCCCTTCGCCAGCGCCGCCCGGACCAGATCCGAGACCCCTGCCTCCACCCGAAGCGGCGGCGCTTGGTCCCGACCCAACCCCAGCCCGCAATGACTGGCGGAAACTGTGCGGAATGCCGGAGGGCGAAGATGCGCATGGTCTGGAGGCACTTGCCCAGCCCGCAGCCCGGCCCGACCCTCCTGGGGCTGGATATTTCCGGTGCTCGGAAGACCAGGATGCAGTACCTGCTCTGGCATCCTCCTCCCCGCCGCCCACGCTTCCAGAGCCCGGTGACGATTAAAATTACTCCTCCTGGGAGCAAACCGAACTTCTACGTATGTCCACCTCCCGAAGAGCCCCCGGATCCCTGTGCCAGGGAGACTGTGCTGAAGGCCCTCAGCCAGTGCAATAAGGGGAAGAGGAAGTTCGACGAACCGCTCTGGTTTGAGGTCCCGGACAAGAGAAGCCGGCCGTCTGCCTTCAGGCCTGTAGGGAGGGATGATGGAGTGACCCTTCCCCTTACACCCAGGCGTGGGCCTCTGCGCCGGGTGCCCTTGGTGTAGAGAGAAGGACACTGACCCCCCCCATCCCCATCCCCACCCGATCCCTCCCTGTCTGCTGCCCACCACCTGCAAGGACACCACCAGCCCAGGCCACACGGTCGTGGCCTCGGCCGGAGAACCGGTAGCTCGTGGTCACCCTTGTGTCCTGTTAGTCAAAGCCCTGCGACCACCACCACCTGCTGAGAAGCCAACCCACAGTTCTTTTACTACGGTGAGCCCAGCCCTTCCCCCTGAATAAGTCTCAGACACCACGGTCTCCTGACAGGTCTGCCAGGCCCTAAACCCCGCCCCCCTTAAGTGTGCGCACCCACATGCAGAATCACTGCTACCCCCAACCCTGGCCTTCCTCCTGCTCACCCACTCCTGCCTTTTCCCAGGAAGGTGTCTTTCTCCCGTTTGCCCAGGTCGTATAGCGAAAAGTGTGTGCTTGTTCTAAATAACAATTACAGGCAGCATTATTATCATGAAGGAAAGAACATAGTAGTATCTATCCTGTATGTATTCTCTTGTTTATAAATATATATATATTTTTTCCTTTTCACGGCAAGAAAATCAAACAGTGCACTGTAGGAAGTGCACTGACACCTGGTTGTTTATCCCAGCTTCCAGGGTGAAATAGACACAATTTCATGGAAATATTTTTAAAATACTTTACTGCATGTGGAAAGTGGTAGTGGATACTCTTTTTCTGCAGATAAGCTGTGAACAGCTTTATTATGATTTTTTTATCTTGTGCATTCCCCTCATTAAAAAAAGATGTATGCTTTGTAGTCAGACATTATTAAAAATGAGAGGTACAAGGGTCTCCTGATTTTCACTTCAATTCACCATATGCTCTGAAAGGAATTTGACGTTGGTTTACAAGCTTTATAGTAAGAGATGATAGGTCTCTTGGTTTGTATTATATACACACGGAAGCAAGCCTTTACTGTAGCACCTGAGCTCACTGATCCTTACAAGTTTAACTTGGCTGAGTCCAGATTAAAGCACTGTCCAAGGGTGTCTGTATAGATTATATTTCTGTTGTCTAACATTGCTGTTTCATGTTATTTCTTTTTTTCCCCCCTTTTTTTGTGACAGGTAGTTTTTAAAGAGCAACTTTCACCAAAAAAATTGGGCTTCTTAAATGTGATAGAACTCGTTGGGGCTCTTAGTGACATTCTCTACGTGGAGTTCAGGGAAGGAGAGCAAGACCTACTGCTGTTTGATGCTGATCTGAAGCCCCTACCACGTGGTGAGTTGAACGATATGAAGCAAACCTGAGTTTTAGTTTTCCCTGTAAGGACAAGGAAGAAGAGCGCATTGGTTATATAGGATTCTTTGTTATAACCAAACAGATCACATGTTAGCCTTGAAAATGTTAGAATTTTTATATAGCCTTCCAGACTTTTTTCATTGTATATGTAAGTGTAGCTAGATTTTTAAAAGTAATATTTACTTTTTAAACAATTTCAGCAATGCTGAAGTGGCAACTGAAGGTAGTGGTTTTAGTGGGTCTCCTTATGGACCTTTTCTATGTTACATAGTTTTATAACATATGCAAACTTTTCATACACAAAACTGTATTATATATAAATATTGTATACGTCCTTGCTTTTTATACTTCATACATACGCATGTTTTTCCATATCAGCACATACAGGTCAACTTCATTCTTTTTAACTGCATATAATTATTCTATGTGACTACATAATAATTCACTGAACCTTGCATTGATGGACATGTGGATGTATCCATTTTTCATCATTACAAAAATACACTGATAAATATTGTATCTGCCCCTTTGTGTACTTACTAGTTTATTTTTCAGGCGCCCTTATGGTTTTGGATATATCTGGGGTTGGTTGGTTTTAACGTGCCAAATTCTTCTAATCATCATATATGTGTAAATTTGAACAAAATATGAGATTGATTTGGGAATTCCCTAAAAATGAAGGCATCGTATTACAGGCTAAGTAGTCACATACGTGCTACATTAAGCAACAGTGAGTGTTCACTGCTAAATCTGTAGAATAAATAAATTGTTATCAGAAGGTTGAAAAAATAAACAACCGATCACCAAAGTTTAAGAAGCCTTTCTAGAATCTCCCTGTCTGCCAACGTAATTTAAGATTTGTCCCCACCTGGAACTTCCCTTACACGTCTCCATACTGAAAGGCTCTGCAAAGATGGGTTTCTCTCTCTCATTTGTCACTGACTACCCAGGGCCCGTCACAGAGGATGTGCTCAGGGACGGTTATAAAAATACTTCCACAGACATATATATACATTGTACTTAGGGTGCTCTCTTGGTCATTTCAGATGGAGCGGTTTCGTCAGTGAGAAATACAGGTTTCCTTCAATCAGATAAGAAAATAGAAGCCAAAACCTGTGTCTCTAGTCCCCCTAGAAATGCATCGTCTGCTGCTGCTCTTAAGGAGAACCCGTGGGCTTGGTCTTTTAAAAACCATAAGGAGCCGGAACAGAAGGTTTACAAGAAACCTAACCTGGTGGTGAAGCCTCTACAGCTGGTGAGTGAGGTTTACGGACTCTCGCGCTGGAGACTCACCGTTACAGAGAGCTCCTGAACGCGTGGCTCCCGAAACCAGAGTTCTGTTTCAGAGAAGTCTGGTTCCCGGGTCGGCGGTTCATGCAGCATTTGGTCTGGTTTCAATCTTTTTTCCCTTGAGTCTTGTTTAGAGTTTTCACGTGGCTTTGAGAATCGACCTCTCTCAAGGTGACATCGCTGACTCTCTGTCCACATTTTTCCAAATGTAGGCTTGAAAACCCTGCACTGCTTTAGAGGGAGGAGTCCGGGAGCCTTGTGTTAGCGCAGGCTCAGCCTTGGTGGCAAATTGCCCCGCCCTCTCCTCAAGTAAGGGGGGGCCTCGATTTTTCCTCCTTTGTGACATCGCTGCACAGTTTCTCCCTTTCTGTGCTCTCTGGTACTTACTTTGTTGTTACCGAGGAACGAATTGCTTACTCTCCTAACCTCCTGCCCTCTATACCTGCTTTCATGGAAGGAAAACATTTCGTTGGGAGAGCCTGCTGCGTTTTCTGGACAACAGGAAGGCTTAAAGGAAAATAATTTAGAATGAGTGCTGAGAAACCCTATTTTTGATTATAAGACTAGTCTGAAATTTAATCCATTTTTTCAAGTTACCCTTTTTGGTAAGGCTGGGTAGGATGAGAATCTGCTGTAGCTCAGCCTATTTGAAGGACCATGTGTTTAGTTTTGTGTATGTGGTTGTGCGACACATTTTTAACTCTTTACCTAATATCACAAGGCAGCAGTTTTCATATTTTGACCTAGTTGAGGACCACCTCGGGAATTTTTAAGTGCATTCTTATGGGCCCCATCCCCAGGTATTCTGAATTCTGATTTATAATTTCCTAGGTGATTCTGATACAGGTGACTCATGAAATATACTCTGAGGAATGTCATAGAGTTTGAGATGTCTACCCAGAGATTTATGGTGGCCTCTTTGATTTCTTTTTTTAACTTGTAGCAAGTGGAAATTGACAGATCACAGCTCAGCATGGCAGTGGCCAGTCACGACATCCCGCCGGACGCTGTTCGGGACGAGAAGCTGTGCAGACTGCCACCGTTGGACACCAGCAGCCTCGTGGGGGTCTTTGTGGAGTACATCATCTCTCCTGGTCAGTTCTACGTCCGGATCTACAGCCGGGACTCCTCGGAGTTACTTGAAGACATGATGATTGAAATGCGGTAGGGGCCTATTATTGTAGTCAGTGTGTTTTTCATGTACTTCATTTTAAATCTGTAGTCCTCAAATATTTAGGCCTCAGGATTCTTAAAAATTAAGGACCCCAGAGAGCTTTAATTTATTGTTATTTATCATGTAAAAATTAAAACTGCAAAAATTTGAAAATATCTTCTGTTTAGTACTGGCTGATGGGGCTCAGTGGGTTGAGTGCTGGCCTGTGAACCAAAGGGTCACTGGTTCAATTCCCATTCAGGGCACATGCCTGGGTTGTGGGCCAGGTCCCCATTTGGGGATGTGCGAGAGGCAACCACACATTGATGTTTCTCTCCCTCTCTCTCTCCCTCCTAGCCCCTCTCTCTAAAAATAAAATAAAATCTTAAATATCTTCTGTTTTAAAATAATGGTAAGTCCATTTGTGTGAATATGGATAACATTTTTATGAAAATAACTGTTTTTTATAAATTAGAAGAGTGGCATTGGTTTACTTTTTGAAGCTCTCTTTTTAATATCTGAGTTAATAGAAGAAAATTGGATTTTTTAATGTCTGCTTCTGTCTTTAGTATCTTGAGAATGTTGTTTTGTGTGAAATATGTAAATACACCCAGATACATAGTTGGGGAAAGGAGTATTTTAATAACCTTTTCAAAACATTATGAATATTCTTCGATAATATACCAAACTCAACAGGTAGGAGTTTGTTGAAGATCGGCTGCAGTATGGAATTTGAACTTTTTATGCTCGGCTGTGGTCTGCCCTTGCATTTTGAATGGATCCGGGACTGGCTGTGTGATTGCAGGCTCTGTGTTTAAAAGTTATTCAGAAGTTCAAGGTAGCAATGGCAGAGTACCACAGCAGTCCCGAGGCCCTTGTCGCTGTGGACTCAGTGGAACCGACCCCGAGTGGGTCTGTGACCCCCACCTCTGATTCAAAACCTCATGCTCTGGTCATTTGGGAAGCAACTGTTCGCTGAGTTATGTCGATCCTCCAAATGTTGACTTGTTTTATCACATAATATTATTTTTAAATCACCTTTGTTAATCTCATTGATCTCATCAGACAAGTGCTAGGGAGACGTCAGCTGATGGTGGTGAATACAACATTTTCCACAATTCTGATTTTCAGTTGATAGCTTTGTGTTTGACCACTGACAAAGATATCGTCGATGTTTTCCTTGAACTGACAGGCTCTGTCATTTTTGAAAGAAATGTGTGAAGTACCCGAGTCCGAATAAACATAGTCGGTTAGCGGCCCTTTCAGGTGAAAACGGTGTCCACAAAAACAATGTCTAGTTTATCTTCCAAGTAAAAATAAGACTCTGTTTTAGTCACAGAGAATATTGACGAGCTGGTCGCTCAGTTAATAACTTTAACAATTTTTGTTGCTTTACCAAGGGCATCTTTAAGTGAAATTAGCCTCTTTTTTAAATTTAATGTGACAAATAAATGACCACCAGTAAGATTTGGTGCCGCTGCCTCGGTTCAGCTAAGCCACGTGGTGTGTGCCCACCACACCATCGACGCCAACGTCAGCACAGACCTTCCTGCAAAGGTGTTATCAGGGTTTTAGGGGTTTGCAAACTACGCTTGGAGAACCGCTGCCCTACATTAGCCCCTTTCTCTCCTGAGAAATGATGCCCCTGGTTAATAAACACCAGGTAAAATGTGTGCATTTTCAGGAACTTTATATTTATTCATGAGCAGCAGTGTCTGATTTTTTCACTGGTGTCACATGTAGGAATATTTTTATTATTTATTTTGTGTCTTTCTAAAAAACCCTTTATGTTTTTTTTCCTGTTTAAAATTTTACCACATTCTGTACTCGGCTCCCACCCAAGAACACCTGGCGTAACGTTAGTCACTTAATAATCACTCGGTAAAAATACCTCACGTATCCCACTTCAGTATGGCTCAGTGTACGTCTCAAAGCTCACTTGCTGGCTCAGCGACCTTGAATTGACTTTACTCCTCTGGACCCAGTCTTCTAATTTCCAGAATGGGGGTGGTGATAACAGTGCCTTTTTTGTAGAGTTGTGAGCATGTAAGTGCTTAGGACAGAGTCTAGCTGAAACGTTGGCCACTCAGTAATGAGCCCTAGACCTGCTGCTGTTGGGATACGGAGGCGCTGGCAGTACCAGGAGGAGATGGGCACGGTCTTTGCTCCGTGAACTCTGATTAGTTGGGGAGACAGGTGAGGGCTAAGGGGCCTGCTGCGTGATGCAGTCGTTCTGCTCAGCAGGGCGGAGCAGAGCTTCACAGAGGAGGTACTTGAGCCGGGCCTCAGAAACGAGTGACAGTTTGCCGGCCAAGGAGGTATGAGCGGGTGTGCGCAGGTCTAATCACCGGGACGGAGGCCAGCAGTACCAAGGGCGTGAGCCGTGTGCTCGGGCAACAACCGGTAGGGAAGGAGAGTCAAGGCTGGGTGAGGTTGAGGGGAAAGTAACTGGATATGGAGCAGGAAGGGAAGGGAAGAGCTAGATTGTGAGTGCTACAGGAAGGGATTTCAACTTACTCTGTAGACCAGCGGTCCCCAACCCTTATGGCACCAGGGACCAGCTCCGTGGAAGAGTTTTTCCAGGGACCAGGGGTAGGGAGATGGTTCCAGGCTGATCCAAGCACATTACATTCAAGTTCACCTCCTGCTGTGTGGCCTGGTTCCTAACAGGCCCAGACCGCTACCAGGCCATGGCCTGGAGGTTGGGGACCCCTGCTGTAGACAGTTTTAAGAAAGAGAAGACATCCACAGGTCAGTGTTTCAGGATAACTCCAGCTGCGGTGTGGAGGATGGGTGGAGTGAAAGGGAAGAGTCATCAATAGGTAGTGTTGGTGAGAGAGAGAGAGAGTGGAAAGGAAGAGAGATTGGAGAGGAATTAGGAAAGTGTCATTGTCAATTCGGAATGGCATTGAGACGGACTGGAGAGAAAAGGGGCGTCTGAAAGCTGTGCTGACTTTGGAGGTTGGGCAGGTTTGAGGGCAGGTTATAGGTTAGACATTCACACGTAGTGCATCCAGGTGACCGTGACATAGCGAACTGGCGATGCTGAGTGGGTAATATTAGGATTAGGTGTAGCCACTGTTTCCGACACAAAGCCTAGCCATAGTAGCATGCAGGTAAACGTTTATTCCTTCTTCCCATGATAGTCCTTGTATAGCAATGTAGACCGACAGCGTGGCTCCAGGTGTTTTCTGTCTTGCTGCCCCAGACAGTGTATCGGCCCATCCATACGGTCCAGGATGTAACTCACCAGCAGATCCACCTGGGCTTCTTCATTCTAGCCAGTGGGAGAGGGGAAAGGGGGGGCAGGGCTTGGAGGTACCCCCTTTTCTTTGAAAGACACGGGGTATATTGCCACACTGCACTTTTAAAAAATGATTTTATTTATTTATTTTTAGAGAGCAGGGAAAGGGTGGAGAAAGTAAGAGAGAGAAGCATAGATGTGTGAGAGAAACATCAATGTGTGGTTTGCCTCTCACTTGCCCCCAGTGGGGAACCTGGCCCACAGCCCAGACATGTGCCCTAACTGGGGATCGAACTGGTGACCCACAGTCCGCAGGTTGGTGCTCAATCCACTGAGCCACACCAGCCAGGGCTCTGCACTTCACTTTTTAAAAAACTGTGGTAAAATACACATTAATTCACCATCTTAATCATGCATACTTTACTTTTTCTCACATCCCATTGGCCAGAACATAGTATTCACCTAGCCACATCTATTAGATATGAGGGAGCCTGGGAAATCTGAATGCCTACACACTCGGTTAAAAATAGGGATTCTAGTTCTACAAACTAAAGAGAGAAGAATGAAAGTTGGGGGACAACTAGCGTCTCCTTCATTCAGTTGGAATTAAAGTCTTAAATCGCAGAGGGGATGCAGGGTCTGAATTAGAGATGATTCCACTTCCACATGGAATCTAAAGAAGTAAATAAGGACCACACAAAATAGAAACAGACTCTCAGATACGGAGAACAGGCTGGTGGTTGCCAGGGGGAGGAGGTTTGGTGGGCTTGTGAGAAAGGCGAGGGGATCGAGAAGTAGATACCAAGTGATCATGGGGTTGGAAAGTACAGCATAGGAAGTGAGGCCAGTAATAGTATAGTAACTGTGTATGGTGCCAGGTGTGTACTTAAAATATTGGGGGGATCACTTTGTAAGGTAGATGATTTGTTTAACCTCTAAGCTGTTCACCTGAAACTAATAGTAAATAATATTAATTTTTTAACCCCCCCCCCCAAAAAAAAAGAAGAAGAAAGGGCTTTTAATTTTTTTGGCTTTTTGCCCAGACTTTCTTGCTTTCAATACATCAGTAAAATTTATCTTTAATTTTTCCTCCCCTACGGGGTTCCACATTATGGAATTCCACAGGCGCTGTTACTCCAATCAGCTGGTTTCCGATCGATACATCATGCCAGAACATTTTGTCCACCCGGGACATCTCTGTTGTGTGAGGATTTCGGAGGATAAGTGGTGGTATCGGGTCATTGTCCACCGAGTCCTCGGGAAACAGGAAGTCGAAGTGTTCTACCCCGACTTTGGCAATATTGGAACTGTCCAGAAGTCCTCCCTGAGATTCCTCAAGTGAGTTAACAAATTTAATAAGGACAACTTAGGTTTTGAATCATAATGTCGAAGCTCTGTGGGGTTAGGATCTCTTTGTTTTCTCTTCCCTCCTTCCCTCTGTCCTTCCCTGCTTACCATCCCTTGTTCTCGGTGCAGACTTGGCGAATGGTCATTTAGTTTTGCACATGGGTCATATCTCTTGTGTCTTCTTTCACACGACTGTGAATCCAAAATGGACCATGAGACTGAACTTCAACCTCTTACTAAGAAAAGGTTTCTTTGGGTTCTGCTACGAGTTGCATTGACATAGCATGAGGCTAACAGTCTTCCTACCTATATTTTAACAGCATGCTTTTCAAAAACCACTATATTTTATCATTTTCTCTTAGATGGCTTGAAGTGTTAAGACACTGATTTAAAATGTGTGAACAAAATACTCTGAAATGGTGTGAGTAGCTGAAGTCAAGAAACGAGTTAGAAACCCCGAAACATGCAGTTTGAAACTATGGTTAAATATTCATGTATTTGATGATCTGTTGCAGGTGCTGCTACACAAAGCTTCCAGCCCAGGCTATTCCTTGCTCTTTGGCTTGGGTGAGACCAGTAGAGGTGCGTGTGCCTGTTCCCCCTTAACCCGAAAACACCGGATGCCAGGAACAGTTCTAGGTTCTCAGGATGCAAAAGTAAAATCTGGGGTGAACCCTCACAGGAATCATTGTAGATGACAGGGAGGCAGACACATAGGCAGAGGCAGTGGTACTGTGTCGTATTTGTCTGAGTTTTGACATGGTGTGTGGTGGAGGTGAACGAGGAAGAGCACGCATCTCCGTTCAGGGTAATCAGGGAGGGCCCCCTAGTAGAGGCGGCGTTTGAACCGCTGTGAGGGAGGATTAAGACTATAACAAAAGAGAAGACACTCCAGGCAGAAGGACAGCAGCATAAGACATCTCCAACTTGAGGAGTTTGAAGTGGCTCCGTTTTGAAGTGGCTCCGTTTGGCTGCGTAACAGGATGAGCTGGAGCTGGCTCAGGACGAATGTCACCAGAGAGGTAGACAGGAACCTGATGTGGGGTCCATATTTGCGCTCAGGATGAAGGAAAGTAATTTAAAATGTGATTGGAGAAAAAATTTATATTTTTACCTGGTGAAAAGCTTTCATTTTCAAATATTCAGTAAGATTACTAGACTAGTTCTCTTTCAGGAACAACTAAAAATTCAAGATAAAATATTTTTTAAATGTGTCCAAAGCTATCAAAAAACTGATGAAGAGAGTAACAAATTATCAAGCCAAAATTAAAGGGAAAGTGGGAACTGTTTTTGCTGTAAGGGTATCTGCTTGTCAAGGCAGATTCAAGCTTTGGTTCTGATGCTCTCGCAGGTCAAAAAGAACAGAAATCGTAAGTGTCCTCCAGGGTAGTGGTCTCGTTTTTTATGCTTTATTCTCCCACTATGATCTCCAGTTCATCAGGAATTCATTTTTGCACCTAGTTTCTGTAATCCGTGTTTCCGTGTATCACATGACTCTCCTGTCTTGATTATGTTTCAGGGATACTGGACATCCACAGCTATTTTGCAGTTCCAGAAGTTGTGCGGCTTGAAGCCGTTAGTGGGGGTAGTGGACGAATACATCGATGGGATCCTCAACATTTTCCTCTGCGACACGTCCTCGAACGAAGATGTCTATTTCCACCACGTCCTGAGGGCAGAGGGCCATGCCATTGTGTGCCGAGAAAATGTCCCTTCTAAGGTGGGCGGTCTGGGTGTGCTCTGCAGGTTGGCTTGTTTAATCTCAGCTCTTCCAGAAGAGAATTGAATGAAGAAGGGTATTTGATTCATTCTTTAAACTTAGAGATACCTGCGAGATTCCTGCCATCTTCATTTTTAGACGACCACACACACACACACAAAAAAAAAACTGCGTTCAGATTACTCCTTTAGCCTGAGAATACTTATATTTTAAATAACTGGTTGAGAATTTACCCCAAAATATTGAATTCTCTCAGGTATTTTTAGAAAAGAAGAACACTGTCTTATTTTGCAATTATTGATAGCAATGGCTGCATCCCTATTAATATCGATGTTGATAATTTTTGTGACTAGAAAGAACTTTCAATGTCGAATTTTTTTGACTGTTAAACTTTAGAAGGTAATACATTTCTTCACTGTTTGAAAATTATGAAATGCTAACGTTTCACCTTTCTCTGAGTAATTAACCCTTCCTCCTTTATCTTCTCCTAGGGTTTCAGTGAGCTCAACCTGTTAGCTTTATACACGAAGCCCAGCGCCGGGCTGGAGGATGCTGTCTTGACAGAACTGGCCTGTCCCTCCCAGCACCACTACTTTAAGGAAGTCCAGGAGATAAGCCCGAAGTCAAAAGAGGGCTATTTATATACTCCGGTAATAGGTTTTGGCAAATACGATGAGAATTTTCTTTAATGTTAACATTTAATTAGGAGTTACTATATGCCAAATACTGTAAATAGAACTTGAAGTATGATATATTATTTAATCTTCATAAAATCCCTGTGACATAGTTACTGTAATTATCTTCATCTTACAGATGAGAAAACTGAGGCTTTCCAAACATAGGACGTGATGTTCGTAGTTACCTAGGTTTCCCATTAACTGCTGGTTGAAACCTGCCTAGTCATGCTCCCTCCTCTACGAGTTCTCATGCACTCAAGTCCATGGCCGCCTCTGTGCCATTGTGACTTCACCTGCGCCGGTCCAAATGCTCCCACTTACAGCAATAAACACCTCACTATCATTGTTATTACTATCCTAGCAGCAACAATAAAAATAAACTCACACTGTGTGGCAGGCACTCACATGTCCCAGTTAATTTATCTGCACAGTCCCTTCACCAGGTTGGTGCTTCCCTACCCCCCTTGAGATGGAGCGCACAGTAAGGAGTCAGTGAGGTGTTCAACCAACGAACAAATAATCATTTGAGTCTTATATTCCTGGTGACAGCAAGTACTGTCAAGAACGTAAGGGCGTGTTCAGTTGGAGAGCCAAAAAAGTGGTTTCTTTGGACACAATAAGGACACAAAATACTATTTTGTTTAAGTATGTTTTGTATGTGTGACTTTAAAAATTATTGGTACGATTGCATTATTTTAGTAGACACTTACTAGTTAGTAGAAAAGGGAAAGGGAGGCCACACTGACTACGGGAGACCACTGCGGCATGTTCAAAGCGGTGTGCGGATTTTCAGTGTCCCACTTACGTTACAGTCAATTGGGCCTTGTCTGGCTTTCTGAAGCCTGATTTCTTCTTAGTCATTATTACTCGATTAGAACAGTTATATTTCCTGACCCTTAAACAGTGAATTGAATTCAACCTTTAAAATTTTTAGAATATCCTATTGTCACTCCGTTGACGTCTTCAAATAACCACGGTCCGGGTCCAGTCCTAAACATGAAATAAAGCCGTCTTTTTGCAGAAGAAATAAATCTTAACACTCCCCTATTTCATCCAGCCTGTGTTTTAACACATGAAGACTCTCATATGCTGTACACACACCCCAGCCTCTCCCCACCTCACTCCCTGGACTTCCTACTCTTCTCTTAAGCATCCCAGCAGTTTGCCTTAAATCCTTCATTGCGTCTTCTCAGAACTCCCTTCTTCCCCGGCTCTAGTTTGGTTCTGCTCCGTGAGGGCCCTACAGTCACGGTTGTTCTATGATTATCTGGTGGTGTGCTTCCTGCTACACATTTGAGATCTTCTAGAGCTGGGACCTGTTGCACTCACGCTTAAATTCACGGAGCCACCCTGCACACATTTCATAACGTGCTAAATAGATGTTTGTTGGTCTGAACTAGTTTAGCAGGATGGGAAGGCTGGGTCATGGATAAAGTTAGGAAATAAGGTAGCAATTGTCAAAAATCCACCCCCCCCCCAACCCAGAATATTGGCTTGTAGATAGATTTTGGTAATATCATTAGTATAAAAATAAAATAATTTATTTTTTGTATCTGCTAGCAGAATATTAATGATGAAAAGGCTGTCATTGACCTTAAATATGAGTCAGAGAAGCCTTTAAAGGATTCCGAATGCAGCCCTTTGAAAGCCCAAGATAAGAGCTATAAGGAAGATGCAAAGTGCTCCATCTCAGAGCTAAAGGATCTGAAGGAAGAGACCGAGGTAAGAGAAGGAAAGGCAGTTCTTTAAAAACGTGATTGACATGATCCAAGTAATCTGTACGTGGAGGGGGCTGGGGTGAAAGAGCCCGGTAACCCCGCTGCCTTCAGTGCAGTCGGAGCACCGCCCAAAGGTGAGACACCCCTCCTCCCTCACCAGCCGCCAAGGCCACAGCCCAGCCACAGCCCAGCCACAGAGCCTCCATCACAAAACACCAAGGGCGCCATCTGGCTTGGGAGCATCGGCTGCTGTCCCACCGTGCTGGGCTGTCTTCAAGAATCATGCAGGGATTAGAAACTAGTAGTGAGAGAGAGAGAGTGAGGAAAGCCCATCGGGAAAACCGTTGACAGCTTTTTTGGAGGACATATTTTTATTTTAATTAAATGCTTATGTGCACGTAGCTTAGGGCCCCCCACAACTCCTTCCCCTGCATTTCCTGTCTCAGTGCAGTCATTTCCATCTCTCTTAGCTACTGCTTTTGGATTTGATCTCTATTTCTTTCATTAGATAAAACATGCTTATGTTGTGACTTCCTCGTTTTTCAGTTTTAAGTGTGTGCGTACGGACTGCCCCCCACCACACACATGCATCCTTTTCATCGCCCCCCTCCGCCCCCCACCCTGTCACCAGTGCAGTTTTTAGACCTCCCATTAGCTCGCCGTTCAGTGTCCGTGTTGTCTGGACTCTGTAAGTGCCATTCACCACCAACTGGTATGTTATGGCAACTTTTCCCTCCCTGCCTAACTTTTATTCTTTACTGTTAATGTTTCTTTTTAACTTAGCATACAGTACAGGTGACTCACTTCTGGTGTACTGTCCTGTCAGCTTTGACACATGGATCGTTTTGTGCTCCACCTCGATTTTACCCTGGAGAAGACCCCCTGGTCTTTCAGGAGGAGGAGGACGTACAGTTTCCTGGGTCCTTGTGATGGGGCAGCAGGGTGGGGAATCTGGTGATCGGGCTGCTGCTTTTTTTCTTGCATTTGTTATTTTTATTTTTCTTTCTTTTTTTAAAGATTGTATTTATTTATTTTAGAAAGAGGGGAAGGGAGGGAGAGAAACATCACTGTGTGGACTGTGTGGATGCCTCTCACACGCTCCCTACTGGGGACCTGACCTGGCCCGCAGCCCAGGCATGTGCCCTGACTGGGAATCAAACCAGCGACCCTTTGGTCCACAGGCCGGCACTCATTCCACTGAACCACACCAGCCACGGCATTATTTTTCAATTACAGTTTACTTACAGTATTGTTTTGTATTGGTTTCAGGTGTACAGCATAGTGATTAGACAGTCATGTACTTTACAGTGTTTCCCCAGATATTTCCAGTGCCCACCTGGCAGCACACATAGTTACTGCAGTAGTATTGACTCCATTCCCTAGGCTCTAGTTTACACCCCCACGACTGTTCTGTAACTTCCAGTCTGTACCTCTTAGTCCCTTCAGCTTTTCCACCCAGTTCCCCCCACCCCACCCCTCTGGCAGCCACTCGTCAGCTCTGTCTGTGAGTCCATTTCAGTTTTGTTTAGATCCAACTGCTTCTTACTCACTTTCAGTCAGTGCTTTTGTCTCCACTTCCACCTGACCCCTCGTTCCAAAAACCGTGTGCACCGAGTTCTGCACTCTCGTGGTGTCAGCCGTACGCATGTGGGTCCTTCTCAGTTATTCCCCCTGCAAGCTTAGGGTCCCACGTCCCAGGACCGCCCGGCCCGGTCAGCGTCCCTTCTGCTCTCCTGTGTCCAAAATGCAGCTGGTGTTTTCTCCTCTGTTCTCTTTGACCTCGAGTTTATACCTATACTTAAATCTTTTTATTTTATTTTGGTGATCTTTCGGGAGGGAGGGAGTAAGAAATTGTGTATTCAAACTGCAGTCTTTACCTGGAGTCAAGAGAAAATGGCAACCCTACATTCTAAAACGTGCTCGTACAGGAACTAGAACGCTTGTGCTCTGATGCCTTCCAGGACGAGCTCCTCACTGGAATGCCGTGCCTGGAGTCAGTGACCATAGGTGACGATGTCTGGGATGAGAACTGGCTGCCCTCGCGAGCTAAGGTGGGAATAGGCGGTGACGCTGCCTCCCACGGACTTACCTCCGGCCACGGTGGAAAGAAGCCGCACCAGTCACATAAAGAAACGCCAGAGAAGGTTAGACCCTGGGACATGGAACGCCAGTCACTGCTGAAAAGAAAGAAACGTAAATGTCATTGTCCACAGCTCAGGAAAGCTATATATTCTGGAATTCAAAGTCATTTCTTAGAAGATAATTCAGAACAGCACGTTTTCTTTCTAAGGTGGTAGCAGTGGGGGGGGGGTAGGATGAAGCAGGGATGAACAAACCGTGGACTCAGCCTCTCCCACCCGTTCATGCGTTACGGTTTTTGTTGCGCCTTTGGCATCTGGTCAGGCCTCAGGATCTATAGACAAACTGTTTTCCCTGATGGCATTTTTGTTGCTTTCATCTTGTAATGTAACTTATGGGTCTCTGCAGTGAGGACATTTGCTACTATTGGTCCTAACTACACGAGTGTATGTAAATTTTAATGAATGTAAAATTTTTAAATGACCCCACTGGTTATGAAAAAGACATGTCTGCAGTTAAGCGACTTCTTATAATTTATGCCATTTAAATACTAGATGAGCGTGAAAATCATCTAGCGGTGAAAACACTATAGAAGAAAATACTGCAAATAAGCCACATTTGTTTTTATGAGATGTGTTGTGTTCACGGGATTTTGGGGTGCTGGGCGTGGCTCTGGAATGTAAGGAGGGAAAGTCACACTGATACAGGAGGTTACTAAGTACCTTTTCTGGTTTAATGTGTGTCGCCCCCTGGCCTTTCCCCTGCGCAGGTGATCCTCTGTGTGGGCTGCGTGGCCCTGTATCTCAGGTCATTGTTGCACTTTTCTGTCGGTAGGACTGGTGTTCTCCTACACAAGATATATGGGATGATTCATGTCAGCCTTTAGGCTTTGAGAACAGAATGCAAGTCCAAGCTCAGGAACCAGGAGGACTGGGCGCTCAGGAAAACAGTACCGGCACACCCAGGATTCAGAAGGTAAGTGCTGAATGAATGTTATTGTCACAGGTTGGCATGAGGAAGCGTTTGCATTTTTTTTTAAAGCAAAAGTCTGGTTAATGACCTCTCCCTCATCATTTTGTAGAATGCATGTACATACAATGTGTGTTGGTTTTTTAAATTTCAGTGAACCCAGTGCAGTCATTCATCTCTTCAGAAGAAGGTCCTGAGCCTAAAATTAAAAGATTGATTAAACATCGGTGTTAGGGATGAGCAGGTGTTTTTGTGTAACTTTGCTCTAAGTTTTAAGCTCTGTGTCTGTCCCGCATCTAGGCCTGTTTTCTTCTTTTCTGTTGGCGGCGGCAGACACACTCACTGGAACAAAATGCATTTGTTTCTTGCTTCTCAGCTGTATTGTGAGCGTCCCGCAAACAGAGGACAGTTTGTGTGAATCGTGACACTTGACCACCAGGCTTCTGCACTTGTGTTAAATTTGGCACTCCAGCCCTGGCTGGTTAGCTCAGTGGATTGGGTGTGGGCCCGAGAACCAGAGGATCACGGTTGGATTCCCAGTCAGGGCACATGCCTGGGTTGCAGGCCAGTTCCCAGCAGGGGACCCACGAGAGGCAACCATACATTGATATTTCTCTCCCTCTTTCCTTCCCTTCCCCTCTAATGATAAATAAATAAAATCTTTAAAAACTTTTTGGCACTCCATTCGCTTTGCCCAGATTCAGCCTCTGTTTGGGACATTCGTCTTTTTCGCTCCCATCATGGCCCTTAATACTCCATTGAAGAGGAGCCCTCCTTGGCTCCTTGGTGTTGCAGTGAAGGCCCGACCCCACTGCCACCTGCAGCATGTGCCCTGCTTCCCTAACCGGGGCCTGCGAGCTCCTCGGGACCCGGGTCCTGACTTCCTAGGGGGCAGGAGTATGGGCTGGACTGTTTGTATCTCCGCCTTGTCATTTGTTGATTGACCTTGAATGACTTGCTCCATCTCTCCGTGAAAAGCACTGTACTGAGGGAAAGAAGCTGTAGTACACACACAGAACACCTGACCAAAAAGGGGTCGTTCCGATATTGAAATGAAGAGACACATGCAAGTGAGCCTGGTGCTGGGGGTGGGGGTGGGCTCTCGTTCCTGCTACTCTCCCTTAGAGCGCCCAGCAACCCGCGGTAGGTACGGTGTTTGCTCCTTATGTGTGTTCACTAAGTGTTTTATGAATGGGATTGATAGTTGCTAGGTTGGTGGACTTGTTTAGAGAGTATTTCAGTTCTTAAAAGTGAGATTTATTTATGATATGAAAATATTCGCCTTGTTCCTAAGGGGAAAAAAAACAAGCTTTCTTTATTCCATTATAGTAATAGTTACTTTTCATGCTTTTGCCTCATTGTCCCTGTTCTGTTCCGCAGCAGCCACAGTTGGAAGGTTCTTCTGATTCTTCTGCGTTGCCCGAGCTGGAGGACTTCTACGTGTCCCTTGTCCAGTCCCAGCAGCTGGCCGCCGGGAGCCAGGGCGAGCCTCCGGGTTCCCAGACGCAGCCCGGGCCGGCTCCGCGCTCTGCCGCAGCCCTCGATGGAGCTCCCTGCGCGGTGGATCCCCCAGAACGGCGCCCCGGTTCGGGTAGGTTTTCATACAAATGGACGAACCCAGTGGCTCGCCACGTGGCCGAAAACCTCCTCCTACTCAGAACGCAATTGGAAAAATGCCGACTCCAGCATTCGTCTCAAGTCGTGGGGGGTCAGTTCTTCCCTCTCACTTCGCCACGCTTCTTTTTTCCTGCAGTTTGGGGAGGTACACGGTGCTGTGAGTGTTGCCAAAGGTATCCGGGCCCCATGACCACCCCGCACTCACGATGCAGGACGTTTCCATCCGTCGCCAAGTTGTGTCCGTTCCCATCCGTCGCCAAGTTGTGTCCGTTCCCAGGCAGCAGTTATCCCTCCGCGCGCTCGCTGGTGGCGCATGTGACTTTTCCTCTCTAGACTTCCACTTTAGGGGAGTCGAGCGTGTGTAGTTTTTATGTATGAAGAAAGTGGATTGTCCCACTTAGCAAAATTATCTTAGGGATTCAATCAGGTTGTTGCCAGTACCAAAAGTGTGTTCCCTTCCTTGTTCAGAGGGCATTTTTCCTCTCTCCTTTGCCCTCATCCACACGTGGATTTATTGCATCTTAGGGCCCAATTCCCCACCCTCATTTCCCCTCCGTTTGTTGCTTGGTTTCTGAGTCTCATCCCCTGATTGGCCATTGGTAACTGTCACCACCCAACAGAAGGTGGCCGGGACCCGTGTTACAGAGACTAGAAGAGGAATGAGAAGGCGGAGAGCGTGGGGACCCCTGAAAAGACCTGTGCTTTCTCTCTTTTTCAGTGGAAAGCTCTCCCGGGAGCCTAAAGAATGAAGACTTTTCTAGCAGCCACGCTCTCACCGTGTTCACAGATACGAGCCATGGAGCCATGGACCAGCTTTCTCTGATTTTGTCTCCTGAGCCCCAGATTTCTCAGAAATTCTACATTCCTCGAAGCACGGCCACCGCAGCCTTAGGAGCTGCTGCCCGCTTAGCCACATCCAGGAGCTTCCTACACTGGTGCCCCAGCGTGAAGAGGACGGAGGCCTGAGCGGGGAGCAGCAGGGAGCCCGCTGCTTCGGCTTGGGCTTGCTCAGGCCCAGGCCGGGAGGACTAACTGAGAAAAGAGCAGTTTTTGGTGGCGGGGTCCTGTTCTCTGTGTTAACAGTCCCGTTTGTTGTGTAAGTGTTGGTTTCTGTTGTTCATCTAAATATTTTTATTGACAGTGTTTCTTATTCTGTATAGTTTTACACCCTTCTTTGATGTAGTTAACGGAGCTTTTATTATTTTTTTTATGTTGCTATAAATGTTTTTCTTGTGCCTATCATGACTGATAAATGGAAACTGAAAAACCAATGTTTTGTGATCCATATTGAGTAAGATAAAAATGACCTCGTAGCCCTATTTCCAAAACAAGGATGCCCAAACTTTAAAGCTGCTTTTTCTCTTTGAAATCTTTTAGCTCAGAGAAAGAATTCAGGGCTCGAATTCTTACCATGATTATTTCTTTGAAGTTCTGGGAGCAGCAAGGAAATCTATACCTGCAGCTTTGGGCATATACATACTTTTACATTAAAAATAATTCAGCCGCCTCTCAGTATCAGGCAATACCTGGGAGACTAGTAACAAAAGTAGAGACGGATTGTTGGAACTCAGCCGAGCCGTCCCTGCAGTCCTCACGGTTCCCAGGAGCCTTCGTGTGGCCGCAGTTCGACAGCGGCAGGTACACATTTATGTAATGTGGTCTCTGCAGCCCGCTCGCATGACACCTTACATGACGTTCTGTTCAGCTCATAGTGTAAACCATCAAGAGAAAAGAAAAACCTGAAAAGCAAAATTGAGCAACGTAAGTGGTATTAATTTATCTGTGGTAAAATACTAGACTTCCCCCCCAAATTAAAAAACCCAACACAGAAACACTTCTTAGACATAAAGGCAGAGAAATAGGTGTGACTTACTGGCCACTGCATGTAACTAGGTCCTCGCCCTCCCGGTCTCTCTCCTGTGGCCTCCCATTTCCGCACTGAAGGGGAGAGTTGCCCCGAGTTCGTTCTCTTTTCTACAACAAGGAATCTCCCCTCTTCCTTCTCAACTACGTAACCAGCGAAATGTCCAGTGAGGAAGGGAGAGAGATGAGAGTGGGTATAGAAGTGCATTTAAGTTTAAAACCTTACTGGTTGAGACTTCTTTCTTAGGAGTAAGTAATCGTGAAACAAAGTTAAACCTAGAGTCTCTAAATACTGATAGTTTTTGGTTTAAAACCCTTAGAGAAAATGTGTAATGCAATACAATTTAAAAATCTAGATTCACTTCTAATTCCAGTTATCTCTAAGAATGACGATCTACCAGTTGACCAAAAAAAAAAAAAAAAAAAGTAATCTGGAAACATCAGTGATAGCTGACCCAAAAGAAGGAACAGGTTCTCGTTTGGATTTTTTGATGACTTTATATCAGACATTTTTTTTGGAGAGGACGTTGGACGAGTTATACGGAGGGTCAATAAACTGTCAATACTGACAGTTAAACAGCACAGTTTATGGACTGGAAAAGCTCTGTCTTTCATACAGATTTGGGTAACTATTCACAATTTGTTTCCGAAGAAGAACATTTATTTTGGAATGATGCATCTTAGAGTTCTTCTTTTAAAGAAGAAACCAAGTTTGAGTAACAACGTCACTTCACCTGATGGGCAGTCACTGGGTTTGGGGCCAGACAAATCCGGTAGAAGCAGTTTTACATATTTAGCAGATCAAATTGTGATCCACCTTGTTAACAGCACTCAGCTACCCCTGGAGACTCTGCAGGTGCCAGGCCCCCTGACAGGGACGGAGTTCCCACTTTGCCAGTGAGAGGGATTAGGGGACCCCTGTGTGAGGCTCTGTCATAGGGTCCTAACCATCTGCAACAGGCCCAAAAGAGGAGGCTCACTTAGACAGAGGCATCTCACACTAAGTATCTGTTAACACACTACTTAGTAATTAATAGTTAACTTTCTATTTGAGTTAGCAGAGGAAGAATGGACCTGTGAGAGACATGTGTATTCGGCCACCTGGCTTTGACTAGGAGAGCCAGTCTGCCCATCTGTTTACTTACCTTCTCCCAAAAGGCCGTCTTTGGTAGTTATAGCATCGAACACATTTAATAGATTGTTTGAAAATGAGTGATTAGGTCTTTGTATATGGGCTGGAACAGCAAAAAGAAATGTTCAAAAGATAGGTAGATGATCTGTGGTTTAGAGTTAAAGTACACTGTATTCTTACAAGATGGGTTGACCTCTAGGGTACTTAGAAGGGCTCCCCTACACACACATACACACACACCTGCACGCTCGTGCGTTTGATGTTAAGGATCTACTAGAGGGAACTGAGGCCCCCAGGAAGTGTTGTCTGGGAAGCAGGAGCCTGGGGTGTAGGAGAGGGAATGGGGCTGAGAACACAGGAAGTTCCTGGTTATAAGCTCTTTTTTCCATTGTTTTATTGTTGTTCAAGTACTGTTGTTTGCCTTTACCCCCCACCACTCCCCACCCCAGCCATCCCTACCTCCTTCCCCTGATTCCACCCTCCTTGGTTTTGCCCATGAGTCCTGGAAACCCTTCGCCAGTATCCCTCCGCTTTTCCCGTGGAATTCTTTGATCCACCCCAAAACTGAGTAGAGAATTTATTCAGAGCTGATTTTTCTGGGTATAAACATAGTGTTCAGGGAATACTTTTAGCTTTCGGTTTTATTTTAAATTTTGATTTATATTTCTGTTAATTAAAAAAATTTTTTAGCTCACTTGGTTGGAATGTCATCCCACAGATGAAAGGTTGCAGGTTTGATCCCCAGTCGGGGCACATACCTAGGTTGCCAGGTGTGATCACCAGTCCGGGCGTGTGCGGGAGGCAACCAATCGATGCCTTTCTCTCGCATCCATGTTTCTCTCTCTCCCTTCCTCTCTCTCTGAAAAAAGCAATGAAAAAAAATGTCCTCAGGTGAGGATTAAAAAAGCTTTTTTTAATTTATGGAAAATGGTTGTGAGAAACGGTGTTTACTTGACTATTCTTGGTGTGATTTAGATAAATAACTTGATGAGGAAACCAAATTGGTGAATCACTACTGTATACTTTTGTTACAGTCCTAATGGGTGGTTACTGGGACCAAGGAATTATGATTAGCCTTGTTTTTGGAGTTTGTAACAGCCTTTTGCTTAATTTATTTAAATATTTATGAAGATGGAATTTGTTTTGTCAAAAATGTCTAGTTTCTTTTTCATAATTAGTTTTTGTTGTGATGATTCTTCAGGAATGAAAATTTCACTTAAATATGTGACTAGAGCGAAAGAACTAGAGTAAAATACAAGATTTCCTTGCGTCATTATAAAGTGGATTTGATATTCCTCTTGACTAAAGTATTTGTCTTCATTTTTGGCACAACCTCCTTATTCTTAAAGTACTTTGACCTTTGTAAACCTTTGTTGTATTGTAGGTAAATACATTTATTCTATGAAATCGGAAATTAATTTGCACTGAAGCCCTTTCTTAAGTATCTGACAACACATTTCAAAGACTCATTTTCTTTCTCGTGTTTATAGAAACATAGCGAACCCTGCTCGGCCCTCTTCCAGTTTCTTAAACACTCTCTCCAGCCTGCCCACACACCGAATACCGTCCTAGTCACATCTTGTGGCTGCGCTGACTAACTTCTGACACCACATTCAGAAGCCTTTGCTGAGATAGTTGTTCTGCCCACAGCCTGCTACCTCCAGGTGGCTCTCAAACTCCTAATAGATTCTTAGGAGTGATGTTTGGGACAAACTTTTCCTTAACCTGTCATTCCACTGGACTCTAAACCAAAGACAGCTCAGTGCATTTCTTGCTAGAAAAATGACTTCTGGACAAAGCATCCTGTAAGTGGAGTGTTGTTACTCATGTTCAGAGGGACAACCTTTTCCTACACTATACATGCGAAAATACCTGTCTGTTAAATAAGACCGTATACTCCTAGGCAAAGTACATCCCCCAGAATGTTCCATAGTTCCTTCTCATGTCACCTGTTTCCTCTTTGCTTAGGATGGTGAAACTTAAGCAAATATACATGATATGGGCCTGAGCCAAAGGTTTATCCTTTCTTTTCTGAATTTTAAAGGTAACGTTCCTCTACTGATCTGGAGTAGGGCAGTAAAACAAATTGAGAGTGGAGGGGTGGAACATTTGGTTGTAATTCACCGGTAACATCCTTTTTACATCTCATGTTTTAGGCAGTGGATCAAGTAGACAGAATGGGTTTTTCACAACTTTTCCTGCAATTGATGCAGATTTATATTTGCTCAACTTTTTAGATTCAGAAACATAAATCCACCAAAACTTTTTGGTTTTTATCTAGTTTCTACTTGGAATTGGTGCTACAGTTGACTTTACCCGGATTCATGAGGCTCAGCAAAGTTGCCTCAAAATCTTGATTTAAGAGAAAAAATGGGACTTCCGCCAAGATGGAGGTTTAGGTGGATTTGCCGTGCCTCCTCACACAACCAAGTTTAGGGACAACTAAATATTAGCATCAGAAAACACAACCAGAACACGGAAAACTGAACTTTTCGGAAGTCCGCTAACAACAAATTCTTCAGCCCGACCGGTAAGGGGCGAAACCGGCGTCTGGTGAGGAGCTGCAAGGGAGGGCTCGGTCGGACCCGGGCGCGGAATCCAGACGCACGGGTTCCAAACCCAGGATTGGACCTAGTGAGCGACCAAGCAACCCACCGGGTGAGCGACTGCAGAGGAGACAGTGGGGAGGCGGTGCAGCGAGTTGACTGCGGTTGCCTAATTGCACGCGAGCGAAGGAGTGGGCGGTTGGACCGGCTGCAGCGGCGATAGGGCGATAGGGCACCGCCATTTCCCCGCTCTGACCACGCCCCCACATACAGCGTCACAACCCAGCGACCTGGGAGTCCAAGGCGCAGTTTCTCACTTTTAAAGGGCCAGAACAGACCAAAAATGTCGCAGGGAGACCTCAAAGCCCCAGAGATAAATCTAAGTGACGAAGAAATAGCAAAACTCTCAGACGCACAGTTTAAAACACTGGTCATCAGCTTCCTCACAGATCTGGTTGATTATAGCCACAAATTAGAGAAACATATGAAGGCTAAATTAAGGGAAATGAATGGAATTCCACAGGAAACCCATAGAGATGAAAAGGAAACTGGGACTCAAATCAATGGAGTGGACCAGAAGAAAGCAAATAATGGCCAAACAGAAAAGAGTCAAGGAGCAAGAATTCAAAGAACTGAGGAGAGTCTTAGGAACCTCCAGGACATCTTTAAACGCTCCAACATCCGAATTATAGGGGTACCAGAAGGGGGAAAGACACAACCACCAGTGGAAAAACTATTTGAACAAATAATAAAAGAAAATTTCCCCAATCTGGCAAAGGAAATAGACTTCCAAGAAATCCAAGAAGCCCAGAGAGTACCAAAAAAGTTGGACTCAAGAAGGAACACACCAAGGCACATCATAATTACATTAGCCAAGATTAAAATGAAGGAGAGAATCCTAGAAGCAGCAAGAGCTAAGGGGACAATCACCTACAAAGGAGTCCCCATCAGACTGTCAGCAGATTTCTCAAAAGAGACCTTACAGGCAAGAAGGGGCTGGAAAGAAATATTCCAAATCATGAAATCTAAAGACCTACAACCAAGATTGCTCTATCCAGCAAAACTTTCATTTAGAATGGAAGGACAGATAAGGTGCTTCTCAGATAAGACCAAATTCAAAGAGTTCATCATCACCAAGCCCTTATTATATGAAATGTTAAAGGGACTTATCTAAGAAAAAGAAGTTAAAGAAACATGAACAGTGAAAGAACAACAAACTCACAGTTATTAACAACCACACCTAAAACGAAAGCAAACTAAAAGAACAGCTAGATCAGGAGTGGAAATATAGAAATGAAGATCTCAAGGAGGGTTAGCAACAGGGGAGTGGGAGGAGGAGATGGGGGGAGAAGGTACAGAAAATAAGTAGCATAGACAGTAGATAGAAAATAGATGGGGGGGGCAAGAATAGCATGGGAAATATAGAACCTAAAGGACTTGAGACACATGGACATAAACTAAAGGGGGGTAATGGTGGGGTTGGGGGGGCAGGGTGGAGGGGAATGAAGGGGGGAATAGAACAACTGTAACAGCATAATCAATTTAAAAAAAATAAATTAATTTTTAAA